AAAAAATGAAGGAAGCTTTAAAACAAATACATTCTGATCTGAATCACCAACAAGACTGGTCATTGCAATTACTCTTCCAACTTAAAACATTTTACAACTACACTTTCTATCCCATTAGAAGATAATTTAGTCATTTGGAAAATATGTACTAATGCCTTACAATGGTTCAGGTGTAAAGCCTTCTGAATTTTTAAAAAATCTTCTCCTAGGAGCTAATAGCAGAGATGTCAGGCAAATCAATTATGATAGGATGTGGCAAATATTATGATAGATTAAACACAGAGGGCACCTTGTGGGAGGAGATATTTTGCATCGGTATCAACAGATAAGAGATGAGAGTACCAGCCTGTTCACAGGGAATGGTATGAACAAAAATCGAGCACTGAGGGAAAGAAAACCAGCTTAATATGCATGATGTGTAGGGATGAACAGAAAGAAGTGTGGGCAGGGATTTGTCATGCTAAGAATCAAAAACTTATCCTCTAGCAGAGAATCTTCCAGACATAGTCAGGGAAATAATATTCTTTGTGAAGCCCTTGATAGAACAAACAAAATACTGATATAGTTAACCCTTTCATATATACTAGAAATAATTTTCTTTGCAGAAATTATGACTGTATTCTAGGTTATCTACATGAAATCACAACCACAAGCATATTCACACCCAAAACAAGCTATTGAAGTATATATAATATATTTAGAGAATTTTTCCCTTGATACTTGTTTGCTACAGATCAATTTTCTAGCTAGTAAAAGAGCAGTAGCAGAAAAAGATGATGCAAATTTAGGAAAAATCTATGTAGGCCAAGAGAAAAAAAATGAGACAATTCACATCATTAATTTCATTCTGTAAATTAAGTTAAAGATAGTCAATATTTGATTTTAGCTCCAGGTACTTTTTTTTATCCATAAATCTACTAAGTACCTGGAAAGCAAGTTTGAGAGTCATTTCTGGATATATTAGGCAGTTGAATACTTTTTTATTTTATGTATTATTATTATTATTTGTTTCTTTGTTTATAGATGGAAAGACCAGGGACCCCTACAACTGATAAGATATGGGGAGGCTTTTCTCTTAGGGCAGAGATATTTAGAAACTTTCAGTCTTGACTGCTGCTGCTATTGTTGCATCATGCTAAAAGCCTGGGCAAAAAAGGACAAGAGAAAGAGGAGGGCCTGGGGATACAGCTCAGTGTAGAACACTAGCCTAGCAAGCATGAGGCCCTAAGGGGGAAGAGAGGGAGTGAAAGGAAAGGAAGAATGGAAGGGGAGAGAGAGAGAGAGAGAGAGAGAGAGAGAGAGCCTTCAAGGAATGAATTGAAGTCCAAGCAGAGTATGCTTGAGTCCTTCACATTTAGGCTGAACATTCCAGGACAGATGACATTGTGCTTCCTTGGAATTGGAACAGAGTCTTAAGTCCAATCAGATTAGCTAATAGGGTCACTTAAAATATTTCAAATTATCTAGTAGTTCTGCGAGATAAGCAAGAGGTTTGCAATATCTTGTGTGTAGGATGGGACTCCTATATGGAACTTCATTCACCCATGGCTCAGAGACCATTGCAGAAGAGGGGGCGGAAAGATCCTAAGAGCCAGAGTTGGTTCATGAACACAGGGAGTTGGAGGCATCCAGGCCACTGGAGGCTTGCTCATGTGAACCTGTGGCAGCAGTGGTGTGGAGCATGGGACTCATGTCAGCTCAATTAAACAAGGGCCCAAAGGGGAGGTGAGAAATAGGTGGCCAGCCAGCACTAGACTGAAAACTATTTGAGACTAATTACTGCTGCGTGAGGGAGAGTATGACTTACATATGACCACTGGATGGGATGACTAGAGTCCAGTGGATGCATTTACACTGGAGGACATTTGGGTACAAACACCTGAATGAAAAGGACTTAGCATGTATGGCAGAGTGCATGGGGTTGGATGGGACAGGGGAGGCATGGGTGGGGGAGGGCGTCTAGATTTGATTGAAAACTGTTAAATGATATTTTAAAAGCTCAATAAAAATCAGTAAAAAAAAATAAAAAGAGGTGCTGGAGAGATGGCTCAGCAGTTAAGAGCACTGACTGCTCTTGCAGAGGACAGGGGTTCAATTCCTAGCACCCACATGGCAGCTACGAACCATCCTTAACTCCAGTTCTAGGGGAATCCAAAGCCCTCTTCTGACCTCCTCAGCATTGCACAACACAGGTGTACTCACATACATGCAGGCAATATACTTATACACATAAAATAAAAATAAATAGATAAAATATTTTTAAAAGATTTCAAATTAAATCTCTGATGGTGTGGAAGGTGGCTGGGTGGAAGCAAGGGGCTAATTCAGGATGGTGCAATTCAGCAGATGAAGAAAAAGGGGGTGTCGAGGACTGAGTAGGATGTTAACAGATGACATGCTGAGAAGTGGTAGCAATCAAGAAGCTTTGGGGAAAAAGAAGTCATTGGGGCTGGGGTCTAGGGTAAGAGACGAGAAGGAATCATGAATGATTCCTGGGTCTCTGGCATGAGCAATTAGATGCATGATGGTCGTTCACTGAAATAGGAAGGGATCATTTCTAGCTCAGACATATTGTTCCTTAAGGAGGAAGAAGGATGAAAGAGGGATGGAGGAAAGACAGAAAATAGTGAAAAGAAGGAATACTAAAGTTTCAAAGGGAACAGTAATGGGGGATCACATGAAGAAGAGTATAGAGCGTTCTAAGAAGCAGCATCCTTTAGATCCCTTAGGGGCCTATGACTTGAGCAAAGGAAACATGGAGTATTAACTGGGGTATATAAATCCCCAGTACTGAAATGATAACGTTATATTTGAGTATACATGAGGGGACAACCTCAGACTAGGCTTGTCTGAACAGGACACATCACAGACAACCTGTAATATAACTGGTAAAAACAAGACCATTCATTTCACAGTGTGTGCATATAGCATTGTGTTATGCATCTCAAATGCATACAATTTGTATTTGTCAATTATACTTCATAAATCTGGAAAATAAAATGGAATAAATGGGCATGGTGGTACAGGATTCAAAGATGGAGAGTACTCAGGATAGGCAAATACGTCAACAGAATAACAAAGTCACTACAAAAGAATTCTAAAAACAAAAACTCATTCAACATTATAATTGAGCTAATAAAAAGCAGCAGTTTTAGTGGTATGCTGTGCGCAGAAGTCAGACTTTAGGAGGCTGAAGATCAAGAAGGCAAAGCAGAAAGGCTTAATGATTCTTGAAGTTGATCACAGGCTCCTAACAACGTCAGCCTGCCTGCCCTTGGTTTCTCTCTCTCTCTCTCTTTCTCTCTCTCTCTCTCACTCTCTCTCTCTCTCTCTCTCTCTCTCTCTCTCTCTCTCTCCCCCAGGCTGAGCTGAGCTAATCTTCACAGAGCTTTTGTATCTCTAGCATTCTATACTTGTGTGAAATTGGTCTTGGAGAAGGTCTTGAGCCCCACTATGATCACTTGTCTAAGAACCAAAGCCTGTGACTTGACTGATCAAAGTGTATCATTTGTTTTGAAGCCACCTCCTTAGCAGATGCAGTGAAATGCTGCACAGGTCTGGGCCTAGGACAGGATGCTGGGCGTGGGAGGGGAAGACAGCAGGTGCTAAGTATACAGAGTGCCTATCAGAGCAATGTCTACATTTCCTATTTGTCTCTCAAAACAATTTAATAGGAATCAACAAAGCAATTTTATCATAGTTTCTAGATGATATTGGAATGTGAGGTAGAGATTTCCACTGCTGTGTTTAATTTGAAAGCAATCTGATAGGATGTGGCAATAGCCATTCATAAATGTGTAATCCTGTATAACTCAACAATTCAATTCACTATTATGATTTCAGGTACTTTGGCTGTTATTATTGTCCATTTTGTCAGTATGCAAAGAGTTAGCACTTATTTGGAAAACTCATTTCTTAGGCTAAGCAAACTCTCTAAAATAGGGATAAGAACTGTCTATTGGGTAACATGTCAAAAGTGTCTTTCAGTCCCATCTTTATTCAATCTTCACAGAATCATATTGGTCAGGCAAGGCAGGTGGCCCCATTGTATATGAGGAAACTGAGGAAGTGTGATTTACTTGAGGTCCATGTCATTTATTGGTAGAACGAGGACGAGATTCCAGGTTTCTCATATGCAGCTGGTTTTCCTTGTCCTTAGCCGTTGACAATTATCTGGTGGATTAGAGCTGTGTAAATAGAGAGTAAATCAGGGTAACATTTCCACTTTAACTTCAGTCCCAGAGTTTTGGTCTGACTTCCCTGAACACGCTAGTTAGCTTTCCCATTCAGCAAATATTCTTTGTTGTTTTTTATGTTTGTTTGGTTTGTATTTTTGCATTATCTTTCCGGTTAAATTTTACTTAACAAATGGAACATTCGTTTTTAGCTTTGTGACATATCGTCTTGAATAGCAAAGTTATCAATATTTTACTGAATTTGGAGGTTGAAGAAGTAAAGTCTTCAGAAGCAATTAGCTAGTGGCACTGAGCATAAAATCAATCCATATTTTTGTTAACATCTGTGTCTTTCCCCCTTATACCAGGTTCCCGCTTTACATTACTAAGATTGAAATTGAAATAGGTTTATTGCTGGTGGATTAATTTGTCACTTTCCTTGAAACTGGTGAACCCCAAAAGTTAGACAGCGATAGGAAAATACTGCCATTGTCTCTTAAGAAGTCTATGACATTCAAGGCAAGAATGAATGTATGGAAGAAGAGACTTGTTTCTTCTTTACTAACTAAAGGGAAAGCCTGGAAGTGAATGATATGGGTGTAGTGTAAAAAAAGAAAAAGAAAAAGAAAAAAAAAGAAAAGAAAAAACCTTTACGTAACTTTTTTGCTAGGAGAGAAGACGACGAAGCACATTTTCCAGGAAGTGTGGGCTGCGACGATTGTGTGCTCTTTACTAATCCTGAGTAAGGTGGCCACTTTGACAGTCTTCTCATGCTGCCTCTGCCACCTTCTTGGACAGAAGATACCATTTCAACTTTCACCCAGCATGATCGAAACATACAGCCAGCCTTCTCCTCGATCTGTGGCCACTGGACTGCCCGCTAGCATGAAGATTTTTATGTATTTACTTACTGTTTTTCTTATCACCCAGATGATTGGGTCAGTACTTTTTGCTGTGTATCTTCATAGAAGGTTGGATAAGGTAAGGTGATCCTCAAGCCTTCTTTAACTGCATTGGGGGGTCTTATTGATCTATGGGTTGGTTGATTTAGATTCTACTCAAATGATGGATGGTGGTAGAAACCTAAGTAGATTAATAGTCTTGTGGCATATATGCATTGCTTAGACAGTGAGATCCCATATTCTCTTTTCTGATTAAGACCTTGGGATTTGGAGTCCGACAGCCTGGGTTCAAATCTTAGTTCGGCCCTTAACTGCTCTGGGATCCTGCCCATGTCACTTTATATTTCTATTTCTGTTTTTACACATGGGAAATAGGAATGGGAATGGTACCCAGCCAACAGACTAAATGAGTCTAACCTTGTAAAGCACTTAGAATGCTGCCTGGCACATAGTAAGTGCTATACCACTGTTGCTATAGTTCTTTCCTAAAGTTTTCCTCAAAAAAGAGGCTGGTTTTTCCATGGAGACAACCTTTTCTTGAAAATGTTGACCTAAAAAAAGAGACCATCAATTTGGTCTCAAATTCCATGGTATTTCGGATTAGAATAGCCATGGAGAAGTCTTCCAATTTGCCAATTTTTTTAACATAAGAAATGGTGCTCTCTGTACAACTCTTCAAATGCCAATGCAGTTGTAAGCTGCTCAGTGTTCCTCTGAGTTGTTTTACGTTCTTAAATACATGAAGAACAGAGAAGAAGGTATCAGGTTGCTTTTGCATTGTTAGGGAAAGGTAACATTGGGATTTATCCTGTTTCCATGAGTTTTTCCACTTCTTGGGGGGAGGCAGTATACTGGCTGTATTACAAAATACCAATCACAGATGAACAGGAGAAAAGTAACAAAGTATCTGGCTATTCCTCAAAGTGTGAAAGTAGAGACTCTAACTAGGCAGCAACAACTGGATAGCTGTACTTTGTCTGGGATCCTTGGCTGGCCTTTTGTAAGATGCAGAACTAAATGAAAGTCATGAAGTTTCTATCAGTATGAGCAGGGGTAGTGAGAATGAAGGCAATCTACTTGACCACCAGAAGTTCAGATTTCATTTCCAAGAAAACAGGCAGATCCTGGGTCTGATTATTGTATTTTGTTTTGTGGGCTCTGTCAAATGCCCATACATAGGCGTAGCCTTTAAAGAGGGAAATTGTGACCCTTGTAGATGCAAATGTGTCACACATAGCATTTAATTGTATCCTTAAAGACAGGCAAAGCTATTGGCTTTGGTTCTTGTCTTTCGTTCTGTTTTTGTGTGCTTGTTTTTGAAATTTTTGAGACAGAGTCTCATACAATAGCCTAGACTGGTCTGGAACTCACTAGCTAGACCAGATCATCTTAAGCTAACAAAACCCATCCTGCCTCAGCCTACCAAGTGCAGGGATTAGAGATGTGTGTGCCACCACACCTGAATCAGAGCTTTGAATATTAAAAATCTACACTTAAAACAAGAAAGTGGCATAGAATTAGTTGACAACACAAGTTAATTTCATACATTTAATTACTAATACACTGGAAAATAAAATATATCATTAACTTTGGGGATTAAAAATCCTTTCTTAAAAATGCAAATGTTTTCTACAAGTACTAAAGAAGGGAGAGAGACATAGCTCAAATTAATGTACACACATTGAAAATGAATTTCTTTTGAAAGTACTGTGTTGTGAATACTTCAATAAAGTGGGAAAATTAGTTCAGCAGCAAACTACTTTATAGGCTGATGGGAATTACAGCAATATAGAATATTACTGCTGTCCTACATTGAAAAACATAGATACTTTGTGATGAAAGGTCAATAGAATAGCTATGACTTCTAGCCAGAGTTGCAGATAATATGACATCAAGAGTCACTGAATTTTGTAGACTTTTAAATGGCAAGCATCAAATCCAGTATAATAACTTATAATAGTCCCCATTTATGCTCTCAAAGTCCTCCTCTTGTCGATGCCATGGAAGTGATTGTGGAGGCAGACGTCATTATCTGCATTCCTCTTCACGATGACACTTCTCATATCCTTGTTATTTCGAAATAGGTAGAAGAAGAAAAAAGTCTTCATGAAGATTTTGTCTTCATAAAAAAGTTACAGAGATGCAACAAAGGAGATTCTTTATCCTTGCTGAACTGTGAGGAAATTAAAAGGCAATTTGAAGATCTTGTCAAGGTAAGGTACTCAGTTATTATTAAATATCACTGAAAAGTTTTAGTATGTTTCCTAGTTCTGGAAACTGAAATCTGACAAGGTACAATTTTTAAAATGTAACTTGGGTGTGGAGGCTGAGGCTGAACTGCCAGAACTTCCAGACCATCTGGTATACAGAGTGAGACACTATCATTTCAAAAATGAGTTATAAACACACATGTACACACATATCCATGTATAAATACTGAGAGAGAGAGAGAGAGAGAGATGTGTACATTCAAAAAAGCAAAAATGAAGCCACAACATCACCAAAAATTGGAGAACAAATTTGGAAATGTGCATAGTCTAACAGGAATAGAAAACGCTTTCTCTGGAGAAAATACGTACTCTTGTGTGCATTCCCACATGCTCATCAACACACATATGTGGCTGCCACACAGTAATTACATGGTACACCCAATTTATTTTGTATTTCTCTATTTCTCCATCCAAACTTTGATATCTTCTCATTGTGAAGCTAGGGTTTGAGCCCATTTCCAAGATAAGTAACCATTGGCCACCACCATGTTGACAGGCCATAGGGGAAGGAATAGCCTGTCTAGTTCGAGGAGCTCCCAAAGATTGGTCCTATCTCTAGTACTGATCTAGTAATGGGAAAGATTTCATGTAGTGTCAAAGAGCCATCTTCCCCTTGATGTTAGGAAGAGGTGTAGGTCATGGAGAATGCACATTTCTCTGTACCACTCAAATCAGAGTCCATAGAATGCCAGTAGCTCATGGAGCCATTCCACCTAGGGTCACTCATAGCCAGAGACAGAGAAGGTTTGAAGCCTTCTACCTGATCAGGCTGCCATCCACCTTACTGTTAACTCTGGGCTGTACTGGGTACCTAAAGTACAAATTTCCATAATTTTTCTAATGACTTGGTAATCCCAGATATGAGGCCAAGGTAATGTGTTTTCTTGACAAGGACCATAAAAAATTTTCTCTGCCCAGAGAAAATGGCCTGGGAAGCAGTACTCGCTTCACACTGAGGGCAGATCTGTGTCTTGTGTGTGGTCATCTGAATAAACCAGCAAAAAGTTCATTCTCCTGTGCAGATAATGTATAATTGAAATAAAGGAGTAAGAAGCTTAAGATCGCCTTTCTTTTTCCAAAAAAAAAATGTGTGTGTGTGTGTGTGTGTGTGTGTGTGTGTGCGTGTGTCATAATAAGCATGTGAAAACTAGAGGACAACTTTTGGGACTCAGTTCTCTCCTTCTGTATGGTCCCCAGGTATCAAACTCAGAGCCTGAGACTTGGGAGCTGGTACTTTTACCCACTGTGCTAGCTCACAGGCCCATTCAGATTTTACATCTGAACTTATTCCTGTCCCCCTGTACTTTCAATAAGATGTAATTTAATCTAGTAGGAAAGACTCTGAGATCTTATTTCTAGGCTACTTGATGGGATGAGAATATGGTTCAAATCTGCCAGTGGCTTTGAGGTTCTTTATACTAATCTGAAATTTATTTATTTATTTATTTATTTATTTAATTTATTTATGTAATTTATATTTTTGAGACCATCTCATATAGCCTAGGCTGATCTCAAACCTGCTATGTAGCCGAGGATGACCTTGAACTTCTGATCCTCCTACTTCTCCCTCCTTGGTGTTGGGATTACAGGCATGAATCATCCTTCTGGTTTAATTTAGGGCTTTTTTCCCATTCTCTATAATGCTTAATGTCTTTTATTTTTTCAATTTAATTTTTTATTGTGCAGGATTACAATGTACCTTGAGCATATTAGCTCTTGCATTCATAACCTAGGCTTTACATAAAACTCCTAATACTTTATTTGCAAGACTGGTGAACTCGGGAAATGCTTTAGATTTCTTGAGTTCTTATATGATTATAGCTAGTAATGTAAGGTATTAGGAGGTATTTCAAATTGTGATATGAATAAAATCACATTTAAAACAGTGGCTAATAATTAAAATAGCATATTGAATTGGCTGGGTGACCTCGGTTAAATGACTTCATGTCTGTGATGCCCAGTTTTCTCATGTGTAACATGAGGGGCTGAGACTACTCTAAGGACTCTAGCATTCCGTACCTATGAGATCAGCCTTCCGTTCACTGCAGTGGCATTGGCTTGTTGGATTTTCCCTTTTTCTTACAGAGAGTGTCATAGGCAAACTGCCTATCCCTATTCAGGTCAGATGTGTTAAAGCTTCCAGAATCATCTATCCAGGATAGGAATGAAAGAGTTGGTTCTGCTTATATGGAAAAAGGTGATAGGTCTAAATTTCCTATTCTTTTAAAAAGGTAGAACTTTTCAGGCACAACAGCTACCCCCCCATATGCTATTTGCTGTGGAGGAAGCCCCTTACCTCTACTGCAGCAGGTATGAAGCCCCAGTCAATGCCATCTGTACGTAGGATGCACATAAGGTTGAGATGTAAAATTTTCCAGTCAATTAATTCTCCTCCATTGATCCCCTTTCCAATCACTATTCCTATAGAAGTCTCACTCAGAATAGTATTTAGAACTGTTTGTCACACAGCAAGCCAACTACAGAATAACTCCAGATTGGATTTGTGTTTTCTCAGATAATGTTAGCATGTTCAGGGCTACAATCTGACTGACACAGAATAATCTTAAATTTGAGGCTTCTAATCATAATGCTTGACAGGGTCATAGAAATAATGAGATCCAATTCCCAGTTCTCAGAATTTCCATCCTCTTTCTACTATCCCTACCAAGTGGTCACCCAATCTTTATTTAAATACTTCTTGTGACAAACAGCTCATTATCTTCTGAAACAAGGATCAAGGAACTCTCACTTTGGGAAGAATAAGGGACTCAGGGCTCATGTTAGGGTAAGTGAAGGAACCACTTTGAACTACATAGTCATACATTAAGACCTACTTAACTCCTTGTCTCACGCTTATTATTTGTTTGAGATGGCTTTCATAGCTTCAAATAATTTCCACTCCATACTTGTCACATAGGCTTATCAAAAAAAGGAAATAGCTAATCCTAGATTTTCTGAAGTTTATCTTTTAAACGTCTTTCAGCCAAAGTATAGAGTGAAGCAAGCAAAAAAAAAAAAAAAAGAAAAAAAAAAAAAAAACCTTTGAATTCGACCTTGCCTCCCCTGCGGGCCATCTGGCCAGGTGCGCGCCCCAATTTCTAACAAAAAAAAAAAGGAAAAAAAAAAAAAAAAAAAAAAAAAAGGAAAAAAAAAAAAAAGGCTCTCTGGAGTGCGGCCCGGGGGAAAGTTCAGAAAAATGCAAGGCTGGGTGCACAAAAGGCAAAATATGCTGACTTCACGTTTTCATCTTGGCCAGGCCTTGACACCACTGCAACCACTCAGACTAAAAGTATCTCAGCCTCAATCATCACACACTTGTATTTGAAAAGACACCAAATAGTCATTTGTTTACTCGTTATCGCACAAACATTTTCCTGTTGCCGCATTGTCAGAGTGCTCTACTTCAGCTCAAATGGAAAGTTGATCTGTGGCCCATGTGTGCATTTCAAGGCTCAGGTTCCCCTTTGGGGCTCTGTGACTTTATATGCCTTCACATCTGGCAGCTAAGTTGAGTCCACAGTTGCAATAGCTAGCTGCAACAATATGAATTCCCTTCTAGGGGCAAGGGATGTGGAGGAAGGTCCCTGCCAACAATGGACTCCAGGAATGGCAAGGAGTGCAGGACTTTATACCAGGAGATGTGAAAATGCTATTATCTTTCCCTTCATGTTCAGAATAGTGATAAAAACAAGTTGGATGGGCCTGTGAATGTAATCCTAGTTTCTATACTTGGTTTAATGCTCAGACCCTTGGGATGACCTAATAATTGCCAGGCCTTTTGTTCAATCTCCTTAAATTGGTGAGGCTGTAGCTTATCATGTCTCATTCTACATTGAAGGAAGTACCTGTTAGCCTCTTTAAGAATGTCTACCATTCTTGTAGTGTATAACTAAAAGGAAATCTTTTAAGAAGTGTTGCATGTAGTCGGGCGTGGTGGAGCATGCCTTTAATCCCTGTACTTGGAGGGCAGATCTCTATGAGACTGAGGCCTCCCTAGTCTCCATAAAGAATTCCAGGCCAGCTATGGCTAGAGGGAGACCCTGTCTCAAAATAATAAAAATAAAAACAAAAGAGAAGTGTTGTATTTAGCTTGGCATTGTGTGGTGCCTGTCTGTATTCGGCGTGTGGGAGGGGGAGGCAAGAGGATCAGGAATTCAAGGTCATCTCCAGCTTCATTGCAAGTTGAAATCCAGCCTAAGCTACACAAGAACTTGTCTCAAAAATTTCAAAGAGCAAATAAGAATAAAAAATTTAAAAACAAAAATAAGTGTTTCATTGGCCTTTAACATCATTACCATCATTGTTCGCTAAATGCTGGTTATTCTAAATAAACACAGGATAACCATCCACAAGAACTCATTGGAAAGTTAAAAAAAGTTAATGTCTGGGATCTATCTTTAAAGAACATACTTAAATCTTTTCCTATGAGGTTTCAAAGCAACTATATTGTAATAAATACACACCATGCCTTATGCTTAATTATATCCCGTATACCAGTCTCCAAGGTGAAATCATTACCCCACTCAGCATTATTTATCAATACCTGTCAAAGCCAAGGAGGTCAGGGTGATAAGGAGGGTCAGAATCATAGCCTCTGGTCTAGGGACAGCATTGGAATGGAGGCAATAAGGCTTGGACTTTGTTTCCAGAATCTCCCCTGGGTTTTCTGGCCTGTCAGCTCATCTGTCAAATCCAGAGGCTTCCAATTTCTATGATGGAATTAATGACAGCATCTTAGTCTATATTATAATCCTTACCAGAAACAGACAACAGCCTAATGACAGATACCAAATGAATGATACATAGCAAAGGTCCTGTTAAAATGATCTTTTGCAATGATTCCTATTTTAGGATAAAATGCTAAACAAAGAGGAGAAGAAGAAAGAAAACAACTTTGAAATGCAAAAAGGTATGTTGTTGTTTATCAATTCCTATAAATGCTCAAAAACTAAAAAGAAGCTTTAGGCTGATCTTATTGAACAACCTAGTGTTTAATTAGGGAACATTTAGCCCTGGAAATAAAACAAAAACACAACTATCAAATTGGTAGCTTCTCTGGCCCCTGTTACATAGAAAGGCATTTTGTATGTCCATGTTTATGAAGAAAGCTCTGTTCCTGTAATGCTGGAAATATCAAGTATGAAGAAATCCCATACTCAATAACTTAGTCCAAATGGCAACACAATCTGGCACCACATTCAGAGGATGAGATGACAAGAAAGTCATCATCTGGTCAGACTGGCAATTGTCATTCAGTGAGAACTATTTCATGGGAGGACAGGGCCTGCTGGATCTTCTGGGATCAGGGAATGACAGACGGCAACTTCTTAATCTTTGCCCTGCTCTTGAAGACAGAGAATCCTGAAAAGTTCAGGAAAGGGTCTTGATGGTTCTCAAACCAGCATAATCCCCAGAACATGAATCTCTTTTAAAACATCTCTGAATATCTGCCCTCTGCCCAAGCATATCTAAAGATAGGATACCTGAAATGTAATAGGACAGTCTGGTCTATCTTTGAACAGCTCTCATAATTACATTAGAGTCAACATTCTACTCAAAAAATTCTTATCTCCTACTAAGTCAAATCATGCTCCTGGAATTTGTACTTACTGGGCACATTTCTGTTCTTTGGTGCTGTACTAAGCAAACACTCCTTCCTGATACAGCAGCTGTCTGGATACTAAAGACAACAGTCATGACCCTGAGGTTCAATTAAACTTTTTCTTCTCCAGGATAAACATGCCCAACATCTTCCACTATCTCCTTTATGAGCCTTTTTAGGCATTGCCTCTCTTTGTTATTTCCTTTTCTGAACACACCAAATTTTGTCTGTTCCTTTTAGAATATAGCGCCCCCAAACCAGCACAGTAATACCTGGAGTGACTTAAGTAACAGAAGAGGTGACTATTATATTACAAGGTTACTAAACATAATGCTGTGGCTGCACAAACCTAATACATACAGAAAAATGCATGCATCTAGAGGTATAGATTCTATTTTTTTAGGAAAAGAAAGTGCCCAGAATATGCATTGCATTAACTACTGGTCTGGGTACCAAAGGTTCATCTGATTTTCAAGAAGGGTCCATCCTCAGAATGACTGCAAGATATGCCATGTGTTCTGTTAACTGCAGTGAAATTTCAGGGAAACGCTTGTGTGGTTTCTGCCCATCTTCAGGCAAATAATAAACTTAGCCAAACTGTTCTTCAGAATTTTCCTACAAAGGTCTCAGTACCAGGCTCATGCCTGGAAAGGAAAAATAAAATCTCTCCACAACCTCTGCCCTTAGGAGATAAGCACATTTAATTGAGAAGCGAGGCCTTTGCATGAGAACCAGAGCTAGATTTGATAGCCTGGCCAGTCATTTGACCCAATCAGAACTATAATCATAATTACTAGCTCAATGTGCAGGCAGAGCTTTGGTGGCCACTACCACCCCAATGTATGGAAGTTGTTCCCGAAAGCAAGATTCAAAGCAGGTTTAATGAAGACAAATGTTTTAGCCTGTGTCAAGCTGTGTAAAATGAAATTGAGTATTGAATAACTATTAGGAAGAGAGATCAATGGAAACAGACAATTCAATTATTAAGACACTAGAAAACCACTTTTTCCTTAGTGGGAAGGATTTCAGACCATGTTACCTTTCCTTTACTGTATAGTATGTTAGCACAGTTTCTATTACACAGTTGTAGAACCAGGCAAGATAGTTCCACGGACAGTTCTACATTTCCTTGACTGACTGTTTGCTTTGGTTTCATTTCAGGTGATCAGGAACCTCAAATTGCAGCACATGTCGTAAGTGAGGCCAGTAGTAAATCAGCTGGTAAGTCCCACAGCATCCAAGTGTCGGCACACCCAGGGGGCAGGGGGAGGGGGAGGGGAAGGCTAGGACTCCAAATCAATGCAGCCTAATCCTTAGGTTCCTTTCTTCCTCCAAGGACCAATTTACAAACCTACCCATACACCTATCAAACACTGTCCCTTTGTTGTCAAAGTGAGCTCAAATGAACATATGGGACTTAGACAGACAAAAAGAGGTTGGAAACAATCTTGATGTTCTCATTATGTTACTGTTCAATGGCTGGTTCTAAATGATGAATTACTGGGCAGAGGGACCATTATTCTACCAGGATAAAAAGAGATGGCAGGTAGTGACCTCCTCATCGGGAACATCTCTCCTCCTAACCCTTTTTCGCTGTGCATAAATGGGCCTCTGGAGGTCTTTTCTGTCATCTGTCAATCCCTGTATGATTAACCCCAGCCTCACTGGGGCCAGCCTCAGGGAAATTAAAGGTAAAATCATTTTGTAGAGATCAATAGGCGCCAAGATATTAGATTTTTCCAACGAAGTAACAACAGACAGCATATTGCTATCTTTTCAACACCAAATGCTTTTATTTCCATGTACGCTCTATCATCATTCTGGCCCCATTTTTTCCCCAAATCTATACCTCGCGATAGCTGGGCTGGAGAATGTGTCACATCTGTAGATGGATGGAAACACATACACTAGCATAAAATTCCCCACGTACATAAAAGGATGAACATCAGAGCAGTCTTTGAAAACTACAGCAGAGTGCTATAGAATGGAGTTTTAAATGCTGTTTTGTGTGTGTGTGTGTGTGTGTGTGTGTGTGTGTGAGAGAGAGAGAGAGAGAGAGAGAGAGAATGAGAATGAGGGAGGGAGAGAGATAGAGAGGTGGGGGAGGGAAAGAGAGATAGAGGGAGAGAGAGGGGAAGAGAGAGAGGTCAGGAGACATAGACAGGAACAGAGAGAAAAAAGGGAGAATGTTATCTTATCACCGAGGTGACTTAAGCTGCTCAGTAGGTGTAACACAGAAGCAAATGCACGTTGTCAAGGGTCACAGTGTATAAGTAAGAGCCCTGGATCGGGTGTTTTTGAGCACTAGGGTTCAAGAGCTATTAACCACTTGCTGAGTGACTTTAGGCAAATCCTTTTCACTCTGCAGCAGTTTCCTGTCTCATCTACATCAAAGATTAGCTTTGAATACAAATCAACTATTGTGGGAGAAAGTTATGTTGTCAAGCTATGCTGTCCCCCTTGTAAGGTGCCACTACATAACTTATTTCACTGTGATTCAGATATCAAGAGAGTGACATTAAGCCCATCATTGATACCAATTATTTCTAGAATATTTAATGATTCTGTCATATACACTTCTGGGAGAACATCACATGCCTAGGGGAGTCATTCACGTGACACTTTTCACTTTTGCATTAGATAACAGTAACAAAAAAGTTCTTAGAAACATCTCACTCTGGTTTTTGGGCAACTGCACCTAAACCATTGTTTGAGGACATAATTCATGGAATTCTGTCTTTTCCAAAAGGCCTATTATTGACAATCACTGTATAATGTTGCACAGTCTATATTACAATAGGTCTGCAGGTGATGAGCTGGGGCAGAGAATAACATTCTTCCCCTACTGTAGCCCCAAATTTCTCATCCCTTCCTGGACATACTACAAACTTGACCTACATCCCATAGCAAGAACTAAAATTAAGTAAGGAATTAACAAAGTGAAAAAGCAGGGCCTAGTGGCATGATCTGTAATCCCAACACTCGGGTGGTGGAGACAGAAGGAGGGAGAGTTCAAGGTTATATTCACCTACATAGCAAGTTCCAGGTTAGCCTGAGCTCCATTTGAAAAGGGAAACAATTCACTGAACAATAGAATACCTGCTCTTTTTTTTTTCCTGAATCAAATGGTTCAAAAATGAAAACAAAAAACAAAAACCTAGTATACTTTAAGGAGAATTTGGGGGGGCCAGAAATATCAGGAATTGTGAGCTTCCTCCCTATACTAAAAGATCAGTATTGGCAAGTAAGATCTTAGCCCTCAATAGACGTAAGACCACCAAATACCAATTTTTGTAAACTTCAAGGAAGCAAATACATCGATACTTTCACTTCTCCCCACCCCCATCAGCCAATCTAGCTTTCTGTGGAAGCTGAGATTTGTAATCAGGTGCACACATTACTTTGAACCCACTCAACATCTCAGCAGAGAAAATGGCACGCTGTTGGTGGGGACTCTGCCTTAGCCACAAGAATACAGGTACTTTCAAGTTGGTGGCGCCCACTACTGTGGGAGATCAAAACACAATGAAATGAACATATGGTTTATTTTCATACTTCCTTGCCTATTTTAGGTTTGGTCGTGGGAGGCAGGACAGGTTTGTAACAGCATAACGTAGGAAGAAATAGGGTCTTTTCTCTGTGCTAAGGTTAATCTAAGTAGACTGACAACTCTAACTTTGTAAAATTCAAGACAAGTAAAATGTTCACATTCATATTACCAAATATTTTGAATGAATAATTTGGCAAACATAATTTTGAAATCATTCATTCTTTGTTTTTAAAGGATTTACTTATTTATTTAGCTAGTTACACATGTGTATGTGAATGTGGGAACACGTGGGGGGGGTTGTAGAGTCAGAAGAGGGTGTCCTTCTCTAACGTTCTCCACCTGTTCCTCTGAGGCAGATTCATTCCTTGAACCTGGAAGTGGTGTTTCCTCAAATAGGCTGGAAGCCAACAAGTCTCAGTGCTCTTCTTATCTCTACCCCACTTGGAACTGGGGTTATAGGCATGTTCAGGAAGCCCAACCTGTTATATGAATTGTGGGAATTGAACTCATCCTCATGACTCCTCAGCAAGAGCTCTTAACCAATGAGACATCTCTTCAGCCCCATTGTTGTTTTGAGACAAGGTCTCATGTAGACTATATGGTCCTGAAACAAGCTATGAAGCCAAGGATGACTTTGACCTTGACCTCAAAATAGGCGTGTATCGCCATACCTGGCTCATTTTCACTTTCTTAAATTCAAGGGCAAAATGGCTTCAAGAATTCCAAGAAGTTGGGGCTGGAGAGATGGCTCAGTGGTTAAGAGCATTGACTGTTCTTGCAGAGGACCTGGGTTCAGTTCCCAGCACCCACATGGTGTCAAACAACTACCTCTAACTCCAGTTCCAGGGGATCCAACACCTTCCTTTGACCTCCATGGACATTGACACAACATGCATGCACTTACATGCAGGCAAAATGCTGATACACATAAATTAAAAATAAATAATAAAATTTTAAAACAATTCTAAAAAGAGGAGGAAACTACCTGTGGCTTGTTATTTTACTTAATCTTTCCAAGTTTCTGAAATATGTTTTAATATTGGCCCTGTGTTGCTGATAAGAACCCAGGGCTTGGGGAGATCAAGTGACTTACCCAAGCTGGGAGAAAACCCAGATTGGAACCTGACTGACTCTGAATCCCATGCAAATTTGGTATCCATAATTCCCTATGACTCTAAGGGCCAGAAGGGGCCTTGAGAATCCATTCTCCCCACAAAGCCAGCATCCAACCTTAAACTCTATTTTTTGTTAGAATGCAAGCCATGATCTGCTTCTGATGACCATAAATTTCCTCTTCTTTGTTATAGTTCTACAGTGGACCAAGAAAGGATATTACACCATGAGCAACAACTTGGTAGCCCTCGAAAATGAGAAACTGCTAACCATTCAAAGAAAAGGTTTCTACTACGTCTACACCCAAGTCACCTTCTGTTCTAACCGGGAACCTTCAAGTCAAGCTCCATTTATAGTCAGCCTCTGCCTGAAGTCCACCAGTGGATCTGAGAGAATCTTACTGAGGGCAGCAAATTCCTATAGTTCCTCCAAACGTTGTGGGCAACAGTCCATTCACTTGGGAGGCGTATTTGAATTGCAATCAGGCGCTTCTGTGTTTGTCAACGTGACTGATGCAAGCCAAGTGAGCCATGGAATCGGCTTCACGTCTTTTGGCTTACTCAAACTCTGAACTCTGAACTCTGAACAGTGTGCTGTCCAAGGCTGTAGCGCAGCCGACGCTTGCAGTCTTTCCAACACAGCAAATCAGTTAGGACTGCCCCCTGTTGAACTGCCTATTTATAACCCGAGGATCCTCCTCATGGAGAACTATTTATTATGTACCCCAAGGCACATAGAGCTGGAATATGTGAATTACAGGACAGGCAAGACCCTAACAGACCCTGCTCCCTAAGAGCTTAGATTCTGAAGCAGCAACCCCACTGATAAAGACATCCAGAGAGCCCTAGGAAAAGAAAAAAACAATATACTGAGGAAGCATAAGCAGATAATTAGCCAAGTTCTGTTTTGTTTCTTTATGAGCAGTACCTATCAGTGGACAGTGTGCTTGATTTACCAGTCAAGATGCAGGAGGGCAGCTGGGAGCCTTCACGCTCATTCTGTTATGGTTGATTCAGGGTCGCTGTGGCCCCAATGGAGTAGACCAGTTTCTCCAAAGTCTCACAGGGAGAACTGAGAGACTCTGATCCCCTCCCCACCATCCTAAGATTTATTCACTTGGTCTTTCAATCTCTCTCTCTCTCTCTCTCTCTCTCTCTCTCTCTCATACACACACACACACACACACACTCACACACTCACACATCATACACACATACACAGAGTCAGGCTGTTGCTAACTGGTTCTTTTATTATCTACCCTGTCCCTGTCTATAGCACTGTGCAAGAGTCAGGGCCCTAAGGATAGCAGCTCCTGGCCTGCCCTCTCCTTATCATGTATTTAAAGAAATCTGTTTTATCACCTTGCAGTCTCCATTGTTTATATAGTGAACTTAACGATTACTTGTTATTTATTTTTGAGTAATAAAGATCCTTTAACATTATTGTTGTTGTTTAGTACTTAAAGCCCTCAATCAGATTGGGGGAAAATGAGATATTTGGAAGTAGTTTTGTCAAGTTTTGTGCTGTTATCAGTAACTTCATAATCAAGCTTAGCACACAGCAAAATATCTTGGTGACAGCATACGCTATGGAAGTCTGCCATCACCTCCGATAGATGACACGGAAACCTAGTTAGTGAAAAGTATTATAACGAAGCTAGGACATCCTGAGGGTGAGCAGAGTCTTCTACTAAAGCCAAAGGAGTCATTTCTTGTCACCTCCAACTGAGGAATTTCTAAAATATATTTTATTTATTTTATGTGTGTGAGTGTTTTGCATCCATGTATGTAAGTTCACCATGTGTGTGACTGGTCCCTGCACAGGCCAGAAGAGGGAGTCAGAGCCCCCTGAAACTGGAGGTTTTAGATGCCTGTGGTCCAGGGATCCAAACCCAGGTCCTGTGCAAGAGCAGTCAGTACTCTTAACCGCTGAACCATCTCTCCAACTCTCTTTTTTGATGTAAGAAACCCAGAGTAGAAATTTTTGCTTAAGAAAAACACATTCTTTAAAAAATACATTAATGCAAAACTAAGAAAGGGGAAGGAGAAAGAATAGTGTCCTCTATTTCCCACCATCCCTGCTCTTCAGTCTTGTGGATGGCCAGCTGTGTCCTGACTGGATACATCTGAAGCCCTTGCAGTGTGAGTATCTAATGCAAATCATTCTAGACAGACTTGCCTGTTTGCACAGTTCCCCCAACAAGAGACCTTTGGTATGACGAAAGGTGATATTTATAAATTTAGGATCTCACTAGAATTATGTACACAGTGCTTTTATGCCTTCCAGAAGCAAATATCCTTCTGTTATGTTAACCTCAGATGGGGGTGGGGGTGGCTCAATAGCAGTGTGCATTTGTAGCAAGCATGAGGTCCTGGAGTCCATGCCCAGCACTGAAAAACAAAAGGAAAAAAAGCACCAACTGACCAACCTCTGTACGATAGGTTTGAAGGAAGTGAGGCAGCAGTCATAGCAGCTGAGTAGACACTTCCCTTGATGTTATTACAGTGTGGACCTTCCTTAGGAAGGTCAGAATCCCAAGCCTGCTTGAAGGAAGAAGTTGACTCAGTCAAAAAAAAAAAAAAACACAAGGATACAATACACATCCCATAATTCTCCTTTACAGCAGCTGAGGGTCCACTTTGTGACATCACTATTCTTATGTGACCTGCCTCAGTTAGACAATGTGGGTGGAATGGAATGAGTTATCAGTACTTTGGTAGAGTTCATCAGATTGGAGTTCTTGTCCACCTAGGCAGATTTTTAAAAATCATCGTCATATACTCATGTTTTCTTGATTTAAGCATTGCCCCAGCATTTCACCCTACCTTCTTCTTCCTTGGGAATTATTATCTTCCCAAACTACTTTTACCCCTAGTGGATCAGGCTGGCCTTGGACTTGGAACAAACCTCATGCCTCTGTTCCAGTTCAGATTGGAGTTCTTGTCCACCTAGGCAGATTTTTAAAAATCATCGTCATATACTCATGTTTTCTTGATTTAAGCATTGCCCCAGCATTTCACCCTACCTTCTTCTTCCTTGGGAATTATTATCTTCCCAAACTACTTTTACCCCTAGTGGATCAGGCTGGCCTTGGACTTGGAACAAACCTCATGCCTCTGTTCCCCAACCCCCAAATGCTGGTATCACATTTAGGTACCACCACACTCAGGTGAAAATAGATATTTTGAACAAGTTCATTACTAGACTCTGTCTCTAAATTAATTAATTAGTTAAATATTTGTAAGCAGAAGTAATGTCATTGATACAAAAACAGTCTGTATTGTCCAGGCTATGTCTTCTCCTGTAATCTCTGCTACCCTCTAGATGCTGCCTCCCATAGCTCTATTCCAGGCCTCTTCTCTAAGCTTCGGCCTCTAGTAGTAGTCAGTCTCTTACCCTGCTTCCTCATAAGGTCTGCTTGCTCTTTCTAAGGACTCTATCTCCAGTCCTTCAGCTTCTCTTTATGTACTATATGCCTAGGATATCTCCTTTGGACTCGTGGTTTTAATAACTACCTTCCTGTCAGTATGGAATACTTTAAGGGGTGGGGCTTGTATGGCTTGTTGTTTGGCATTTTTTTTATTTTTGTGACTTGGTTTTACTCTGTAACCCAGGCTAGCATAGACCCACTATGTACCCCAGTGTGGGCTCAAAACCACGGTGATCTTCCTACTTTGGTTTCCCAAAAGTTGGGATGGCAAAAGTGAACCACTACATGCAGATAACATTTTCAGTTTTTATCTGCCTCCTGGAATTTACTTGTATCTGAAGAGCAGACTCAGGCCCTCGAAACCAATGTATACAAATGGAACTCTTGATCATGTTGCCTATGTGCTGGGATTTACTTTCAGGGTTCCTCATTCCACTGAATACCATCTTCCTCTATCCTGTGTCATAAGCCAGAAACCCAACTTGACATCTCACTGTCCTTGTCCCTCATATTCAGTCCCACCTGGACTTCCCAGCTCCTCAACTATATTTTTAATCTTTCTTGGGTTTTATTCTTATTATTTACTTATTGGTTCATTTATGATTTTAGTTTTTAAGAGTCTCATGTAGCCCAGACTAGCCTCAAACTCAATATGTAGCCAAGGATGACCCTGAACTCCTGGTCTTCCTGCCTCTATTTCCTAGGAGCTGTGACTATAGATGCGCACCATCTATATATAGGGGATTTTCAGATAGCTGTTAACCCTCTTCTTTCTAGCTCTACTGCATCCTGCAGCCTTCTATACCCTATACCTTTACTCTTGCTCCCTCCCATCCATTCTACATGCACAACCATAGTGGCTTGCCATGCACAGATCTGATCTCAGCACTTTCCGGGTCCTTCTTGAACTTAAACCAAAATAAACTTATTCCATCTCCTTCCAACTGTCTCTTCAAGCTATAGCTTCTAAGCAAGGCTATAGATATTTTCCTCCCTTGGGACACTACCATGCTGCTTTCCCTGCTTTTAAGACACATTCCATTCCTTAACAGCTCCTTCATAGCACTTATCAGGGTTAAAGTTTCCCCTACTATGCTGTGAGCTTCTTGGGGATTAAGGCCTTTTCCTGTTCACCATGATAATTTCACTGTCTATCAGAGCACCTGATATAGAATTGGCTCTCTGTTGTGTGAGGAAATAAATAAATGAAAAATGTAGCTGCTTATAATTCAATAGCCCATGAAATAATTGTGTTGGCTGTTGTCAAAATTTGTAATATTGTGAAGGCCTTCCTTAGGTGAGAATAAATAATAAACACGCATTTATGCAGCTGGGTATGGTAGAGCATCCAAAACCCAGAACTTGGAGGATGGAGGAAAAAACCTCAGAAGTTCAAAGACAGCCTCAGCTATGTAACAAGTTTGAGGCTAGCCTAGGTTACATGAGACCCTTTCTGAAAACCAAACCACAACAAAATAAATGAACTCATGTAAAATGGAACAACTGATAATTTTACCATACACAATATAGGTAGTATACTTTTGCTGTAATGTCATGATGATTTGCAAAATAGTCCATGAAACTTGCTCCAGTCTTCACTGGACTACTTTAAAAATCATTCCAATAAATAAGAGGGTTTCTTGCTGACGGTAATTTTCTTTTGGCTTGGTTTTGGTTTTTAAGACAGAGACTCATTATGTAACCCATTGGCACAAATTCATGATCCCTCTGGCTCAGCCTCCTGGGTGTTGGTATTATAGGTGTGTATCACCTCGCCAGGTTCAATAAGTGATAAGGATTTGGGTATATTTCCAATTTACCTGTAATATTATAACCATGGCTTATTTAGTTCTGGATTTCTTCCCTTTTTCTTCTCTTTCTCCTTTCTTTCTTTCTTTTTTCTCTCCTTCCTTTCTTTATTGATACAGGTTCTCATATAGCTCAGAATGGCCTCAAACTCACTATGCAGCAAAAGATGGCTTTGAACTCCTGATCCTCCTGCCTCCACCTTCTGAGTGTTGGGATTACAGGCCTGTGTCACCAGGCCTGGTTTTGTTGGTGCTGAGAATCAAAGCCAGGGTCTTGTGCATGCTAGGCAAGCACTCTACGAACTGATTCACATTCCCAGCCCATAGTTCATCTTCATAAACATGTTACATTGCATTCCATGAAAAGTAGGGCAGGAATGACTGAAACACACTATCATTTTTATCTCTAAATAAACAAAAAATGAGTAAAGTTAAAAATATTGCTGTCTTTGCTATTTGATAGGAAACAAGTAACCACAACATGCAAATATGTGCTGTGGCATGCTTTCAGCACAGCACTTAAAGGGAAGCAGCTGTAGACTCCTTGGGCTTTCAGGAGGAAACATATTTTGTAGCATTTTCAAATACCTCCTCAGGGCCTGATGCCACTGTGTCAGAGCTGCTCCTTAGCACTTTAAACAGATCAGAGGCACATTGAAAAGACCAAGAAACCTGGAACCAAATATGATTTTTGTTTATGTTGTTTTGGTTTGTGAACCATATTCCCTATTTAAACCATAACAAAATCAGAAATACTCACTGCTGTGTGGTGGTTACCTCTGAAGCTAGATATATGTAATCTTAATCTATGTTCCACGATTTATTGATTGCATAACCATAGACCAGTCATTCAACCTCTTGGTCACAGTGTCCATATCTGGAAAGCGGGAATAATGAACACATTGTTTTGCAGGGTTGACAGAAAGTCCCCAGCAGAGTCTATACAACGCATGCTGTGGAACACAGCACACTGGTCTGCACTCAGCATTGCAAGTAGACAGGAGCCATTAAAGTGGTTGAAACTTTTACCATCAAGGCATATCTGGCAGGTCTGGTAAACATGAGAGGCCTTGCCCATACAGTGGAACAAAAAGCACATCGAATGTGGAGTAAAGTGAAAGCAAAGACTACAAGAAGGAAAGAGCAAGACAGGGAGAGAGAAAGACAGACCAAGAGGGAGGAGAGACAGAGACAAAGACAGAGCACAAAGGGCTAGCTGTGGTGGTGCACATCTGTAACTCCAGAACTACAAAGGCGGAGACAGAAGGGTAGCAAGTTTGTGGGCAGCCTGGCTACATAACAAATTACTCAAGGGCAGTTTGAGCTATATAGTGAGATACTGTCTTAAAAAAAAACTTATATTACAGAATGCATGAAATCCGGTGGTGGGGGAGGATTATGGGTGGGGTGCAGGTGGGGGAAGGGAGTCTAACTTTGATTAAGATCTTTTATATGAAATGTACAAAAACAATAAAAAATATACATAAAAAAACTTAGATTGCAGGGATGGAGAGATGTCTCAGTAGTTAAGAGTATTTGCTGTTCTTACAGAGGATCTGAATTTGGTTCCCAGCACCCACATGAGTGCTTACAATCTTTCACAACTCCAAGCGACCCAACACCTTCTTCTGACCTCTGCTGGCACCTGGCACACATGTAGCACACTTACATACACGCAGGCAAAACACTCATACACAAAAATAAAAATGAATAAAATACTAAAATATATATTTAAAAATTCAAATTACAAAGAGAGGAGTTTGAATATGGCAGACAGGCCAATTTGAGTATTGAAAAGCAATTCCCTGGATTTCTCAGTTAAGAGCTCAGTTCTTGTCTGGCATGCATGAAGCCCCGAGTTTGATCCCCAGTACTGCATAAAACCTGGCTTAGTGGAACATGCTTATAATCCCAGCACTGAGATGTGGAGTCAGGAAGATTAGAATTTCAAGGTCATCCATGGTTACATATTTAGTTTGAGAACAGCTTGAGATACATGAAACCCTGTTTCAAAAAACCAGACACAACAACCAAATAGCAAATAGCTCATTCATGGCTTCAGAAGGGTGAGTAGCTGAGGTAGGAGCAGTACCTAGCAGGTATCAAGTACAAAAGAGGGAATGTGATAGCGTGCATGTCCAAGAGGTAGAACACATTAGAAGCTCAAATCATACCATGTGCTAACATGGTATTCAACTCTTTTCTATCTCTATCCATTTGCATGATGGGGATAACAGCAGTGAAGACCTCATAGGGTTGGTTGAGGCATCCATGAACTTAAATATAAGAACCATTTAGTATAACTCCTAGCACACAGGAGGTACAATGCTAAATTTAGATGTCCAAAGCAGGAGATAATCACTAAGATAGCTCAAGCAGAAGGTTAATGTGCTATCTACAAAAACATGGGGCTATAGAAGTGTGAGGCAGTGAGTTTTCAGTGAATCAGTGGCATTAAAGTCATCCCACTGCAGTTGTGATCCAAACGTTAGGAACCTGCTGCTGCTACTACTTAATGCCTGTCACCGATAGCACTAGTCTGTCACCCACAAAGCTTGAGAAGACACGCTGCAAAGTGGAATACAGAAACCACGAACATGTTGAGAAATCCCTGCAGGCCACCAGGACACAAGATAGCTTCTGTGTAATTTAAATCCTCTAAATCTTGTTAAAGGAACTGAAAATGTGTCTGAACTTTTGCTGCAAGAGAGTCTGGTAAATATATTTTTGCCTTTATGTTTTCAGGGAAACCATAGGGATAGGAACAGACAGCAAGTAGCAGCAAACAGGAACCAGCTCAAGTGTTGTCTTCCTCCTCTGGGAGACGTACATGTACGTGTGTGTGTGTGCGTGTGTGTGTGTGTGTGTGTGTGTGTGTGTGTGTGTGTGTGTGTTAGAGCAGAGGTCAATCTTGGGTATCATTGCTCAGGAGCTATCCACCTTTTGGGATTTTTTAAAAAACTATTTATTTAGAAATATTTATTATTTTTACGTGTATGTGTGTCTGTGTGAGTTTATGCTTACCACACATATGCAGGAGCCCAAGGAGGCCAGAGTGGGTGTCAGATCCCCTTGAATTGGAGGTGGTTGCTTGTGAGCTGCTATGTGGGTGCTGGGGACTGAACCAGAGTCCACTGCAAGATCAGTAAGCACTTTTAACCTCTGAGCCATCTCTCCAGGCCCTGAACTTTATTTATTAGTATGCTATATATATGTGTGTTTATGATGGGGGGCACATTACATGTTGCATGTGGGGAGATCATTGGACAGTTTTGTGGAGTTGGTTATCTCCTTTCACCTTTATGAGGATTCCAGGAATTGAACTCAGGTCTTTAGGCTTGCACATAAGCACCTTTACCTACTTAACCATCTCACCAGTCACACCATGTTTTTTGAGACAGGGTCTCTCATTAGCGTGGAACTCAGCAAGTAAGTTAGGCCTTCTGGCCAGCAAGTCCCAGGGCTCTGCCTGTCTTTTTCCCCTGTGGTGGTTTGAAAGAGAACTGTCCCCTATAAGCTCACGTATTTGAACACTTGACCCGATTTGGTGGCCTGTTTACGGAGGCATGGGAAGTGTGGTTTTGCTGGAAAGCTCATCACTGGAGGTGGGTTTGACCACTTTATAGCCTCATCCAACTCCCAGATTCTCTATGCTCCCATCTGTGTGTACTTGAAGATGTGGGCTCTCAGCTTTCTGCTCTAGCCGTCTCCTTTGGCTATGCCTCCTCTACCATGACAGACTCTTATCCCTCTTATCATGGTGCTTTATCACAGCAACAGGAAAGCAGCCAAACTTCCACAGTGCTGGGACTGCAGGTATGTGCCACTATGCCCAGGATTTTACATGGGTTCTGAAGATCAAGCACTTTGCCAACTAAGCTATCTATCTCCCCAGCCCAAATATTTTTCATTCTGACTGCTGATACCAATGTTCTGACTGTGGTCACATTTGACAGCATCAGAGATTGACAAAATCTTATAAACTACAAAGAGGGATGAAGACATGTACAGGAAATGAGTGCATCTTCCCTAATGTTAGGAAAATGATAAGTGGTACAAGTAAATTATAAGTTGACACCAGAAGAAGAGAGGTAGAGAATTTTAGGAAAGTTCTATGTCACAAGAGAGGACATTTGCTTCTACTTTACAAAGATGATCACTCTATGAAACCGAATCTTGACCAGAAAGGGAAGTTTGGAGAAAGATGACCAAAGTGAATTAGATAAAATTCCAACCTCAACCTACAAACTATCTCTACTCCTCACTATTTCTAAAGGAAATGAAAGCAGTATATTGAATAGCTATTTGCACTCCCATGTTCATTGCAGTCCTATTCATTCAGTCTATACAGAATTAATCTAAAGCTAGGTGGGGTGGTATACACCTGTAATCCCAGCAATCAGGAAGCAGAGGCAGGCAGATGTGAGTTCAAGGCCAGGCTTGTCAACATTGTGAGTTCCAGATCTGTCAGGCCTACATAGTGAGAACTTATCTATAGATAGATAGATAGATAGATAGATAGATAGATAGATAGATAGATAGACAGATAGATAGATGATAGATAGATGATAGATAGATAGATAGATAGATAGATAGATAGATAGATAGAGATAGAATAAACTTAAATATCCATGAATAGGTGGGTGGGTAAATAGTGGTAGATATACACAATGGAATAGTACCATCCTTAGAAAAGAATTCATTTGCAACAGCACGAATGAACCTGGAGGGCATTATGCTATGTGAAATAAGCCAGGCAGGAAAGACAAATAGTGCATGATTTTGTTCAGATGTAGAATATGAAAAACTCAAACTCATAGATGTAGAGAGTAGAATAGGAGTACAAGGGGCTGGGCTGAAGAGATAGGAAGTGATTTTGATCAAAGTGAACAAAGTTTAACAGGAAGAATCAAGAATTAGTTTCTGCACAATGCAGTGACTGTAATTGATAATGTTTTTTACATATTTCAAAAGTTAAGAGATGATTTCAAATGTTATCACTCAAATATATGATAATATTTGAGGTGATATATAATTATCCTGACAGAATCTACCATGTGTACATGTGTTGAAATCCACACCATATACCATTGATATATAATTCTTATTTGTCAGCTAAAAATAAAATTAAACTTGAAACAATCAAGATTTTTTAAATGAAACCTTCTAGCAAGAAAAGAAACACATTATCTTATTTATAAAGCACTTTTTATTCTTATTTATTGAAAATGTCAATTTTAAAAGTCTTTAAAATAAAAACAAGTTAGAAAATCTGAGCTTTTGTAAGAAGAGACATGACAGAGAAGAAACTGAAAGGCCTCTAAGGGCAGCAGTTTAATTACAGAGTAACAGGAACTCATTTCTAGAGTATTGTAAACAACACAACTACAGAGACACTGCTGTCGGGTTAACATGGCTTCATTTCCTTTATATTATTGTTTAGTGTGTAAGCGCGGGCAGCACTCTGCAGAAGCTTCATTACCCAGAGTACCAAGGGCCTCTCCTCAGAAGGGCCAAGTCCCCAAAACATGCATATGTACACATTCCTTTAAACACCTTTCAATGTCTTAAGCAACCAACTAAAATATTTGGTAATCACAAAAAAAAAAAACGTTTCCTATGGACAAAGTTTGCACATTTATTGCAAGCCATTGACTAACCACAGACAGGGTACATATGAACATCTGGGTTGCTACTGTTGCTTGATTTTAAAAATTTTAGATGAAAGATGTCTTATCTAAACTTCTGGGCTTAAAAACAGAACAGCCATTTTTAGAAAACTTCACTCTTCAGCTTCCAAAAATGGCTGTGTGAGGTTGGTTGAGGCTGGCCTTTGGGAATATTCCTCTTCCTGTGGGTGCTGTAATGTCTGCCATGTAGCAGAGACGGCAGCCCTGTACCGTGAAATTATGGAAACCATGAGACCCTCCATATCATAAAGGAAAGGGCACCTCAACAAGCTTTCAAGCTTCAAGTTTAGTTTCAAATTAGCCTTTACTTTGACTATGGGTAAGACTTTGATCAGCCGATTGGTGTTCTCCCTTTTCCCCGTGACCTCCTCCATGTGGCCTACTATTGTTCTGCCATCTAAGGAGGCAGACATGTCTGCATGCCGCTGTCTTGGAGCTCTAGCCCACCTTGACTTGTGTTGAATTTGCAGTGTTCTCTTCTAAACACAGCTTCTCACAGTTCAGATTTCTAGACTACTAACAAAGTTAATGGTTTGACATGATAGGCAACTTGAATAAACCAGTTTCAAATATTTAGCTTCACTGGCAACCAACACAACTAGTGGAGGGGCCCTTTTGTTCTGGATATACAAACTGGAGCAGTAGTTCATATCTGAATTTCCTCTTCAAGGCCTACTCCAAAGAGGCCAATGATGATTCTAAGTTATCACCACAGAAATGAGAAAGTGATAGAATGGATGCAAGATATCACTAGGGATCAATATTTTCTTAACCCAGATTATTTAAAAGATGAAAGGCTACAGTCTGAATATTCAAGGGAGAGTCACTGCTCACAGTCTAACTATGTATTAAAAGTGAGCACATTCACACTAGTTTACACGCCACTTGGGATGGACGGCTGAAAGCATGGGGGAGGTAGAAAACTTAAATGGTGGGAGAAGGCTGGGGTGCAAGGCTATCATGCGATGGGAACAGCTGCTCCACCAAGCTGCTCTGCCCTACTGCTAAAGGGGAGTATTTCCTGAAGGAATTTGCTGATGGGTTTGGTGCTGGCATTGACAGCTGGAGCTCCTGCCCCAGCTGACTTTAAAGGTACAACAGGACAAAGGGAATAAGGGCACCACACTGTTCTTGGTCTTAAGAGATAACACGGAGCAATTTTTTAAAAGTGTGATGGAAGGGGGCCATGCGACAGTCTAGGAAAGGACAGCTGACTCATTAGATAAATGTGTTAGCTTCACCTACTCTAGACATAGCTCAAGAAGCTTTGCCTTCAGTGAATTAGAACTAGGTAGTAAAGGACTGTTGGGCATAGCAAACTATTGGGGCCATTTCTACTGCCATGTCATGCTCTTTCCCCTATTGAAACAAATGACAATCAACAACAAAGCATCAACAAACACTTAAGAAAACAGAGAGAGAGAGAAAGATACAGAGAGAGAGAGAGAGGAGGTGGAGGAGGAATGGGAAGGAGAGAGATCCCAACACAAAGCAAAAGTTGAAGAAGTACACAGATGGAGTTACATCATTCAGCTGGCCATTTCAAGAAGTGCTAAAGACACTCCGCCCAGCACACAGTGACGGTTATGGAAGCAGTGAGGTCTTGCTACTGGATTCAGCTCGCACGCACTCGTCTGTTTGCTTCAACAGCTTCCTCACCAGCTTTTCTAGATCCTTTCTTGACTTCAGTTCTTCTTCCAGGCATTGCTTCATTCTCTTATTCTCCTAGGATGGAAAGAACTTGTCAATTACTGAGCCAGGGGAGGCCTCCCAGGGTTCCCCCTGCTCCCCTTCACCCCTGACCACATGTTCCTTCCTCAAACTCACTCCTTAGAGTGAGATCAGGCTGCTTCCTGATTCTCCTGCCTGTCTCTGACCAGCCTCTTAGACTCTTCTTCCTTCATGCAAATATTCTGTAAGGCTGCCCCTTGACTGGCTCTCTTCTCATTCTACATTTTTCCATTTAGGGTCTCTTATCTTTCAATGCAAGTATGTAATAAGAGAGTTCCCAAGTGTCTTTGGTGAGAAGCTCGTCTCCTAAGCAACAGGACCATAATTCTAATGCCTGCTGGGCAATTTCATCAAGAGTGGTTATAGGCACTTAAAATTACTAGACTCTGAAGAGAATTCAGTATCTTCTCCATTATTCCAAACCTCTTCCCATGATTCCTGACCTCTGAAGTGATGGCCACCAAGCAATCTAGGGACCTGGGGAAGCTTCTTAGCTTCTCTAATGTCTGTTCTCTCCTTATCCCAACAATAGGCCATCATAGGTCACAGGTTCCAACTCTGCAATGTCCCTTTACAATTGAGCTCCTCCTCATGGTCAGACTGGCCTGCCTCAGTTCAGGACCTAAGCGCACCCAATCCAGAATTTCCTAAGAACTTCTCAAGTGTTCTTTCAGGTTCTAGTCCCTCCTCATTATCCTTCTGTTCGTCATTTGGTACAATCAGTCTTGGCACACAGACAGAGTGCACATCCTGGAGTACTGAGCCACATCTTCAGATGTTAAAAACAATGATCTTCAGCTCTCTTTTTTTCCCTTCCTTCCTTCCTTCCTTCCTTCCTTCCTTCCTTCCTTCCTTCCTTCCTTCCTTCCTTCCTTCCTTCCTTCCTTCCTTCCTTCCTTCCTTCCTTCCTTCCTTCCTTCCTTCCTTCCTTCCTTCCTTCCTTCCTTCCTTCCTTCCTTCCTTCCTTCCTTCCTTCCTTCCTTCCTTCCTTCCTTCCTTCCTTCCTTCCTTCCTTCCTTCCTTCCTTCCTTCCTTCCTTCCTTCCTTCCTTCCTTCCTTCCTTCCTTCCTTCCTTCCTTCCTTCCTTCCTTCCTTCCTTCCTTCCTTCCTTCCTTCCTTCCTTCCTTTCCTTCCTTCCTTCCTTCCTTCCTTCCTTCCTTCCTTCCTCCCTCCCTCCCTCCCTTCTTCCCCCTCTTTCCATCTCTCCTTTCTTTCCTCCCTCCCTTCCTTTACATTTTCATGATAGGGTCTTGCTATGTAGTCCAGGCTAGCAAATTCATAATCTCCTTGCCTCAGCCTCCCAAGTGTCTTGGATTATAAACAGGTGCCCCACACCTGGCTTAGCTTGCATTTTCTTAAGATGTCAGGGAACAAGAGAGTAGTGACTATGTTTGGGACCATATTGCCCATATCCAGATTGCAAGCGTCAGAAACTTGAGGCCTCATGGTAAAATCAATAAAATCTACCTTAATGACACAAGGAAAATACAAATTCCTGTTCACTATCTCATTCCTGGACTTTTGCTTACACCATTTACCAGTGGGTGGCAAAGAAGACAGAGTCATTCTGTTATCTAAATAGATAACTTTTGATATGTTATTACCTGCTTCAGTTCTTTTACCTCATCCTTCAAGGCATAAACAGTATCAACAAGGCTCCTAGAACATTTAGAGAAAATTCAGAGATGAATGAATGGCTGGTACTGAGGTATTGTTAAGCAAACTTTAACTTATATAAAATACAGATCCTGACAAGAAGTGCACTTTCTGGCTGATGAGGAATGATTCTGCTCTGAATGGTCCATATTCTTTCTCTTCATGGGAGAACAACTCCCACCACATATGTCCATTTCAACACCTTGTCATTACACCGTCCCTACACTGCTCATCTCCTTTCCCACTCACATCTAGCTTGTGTAGCCTGAAAATAGTAGACAAAGGCAGACAAATTAAAAACTATGTATTTATTTACAGTACACAACATGATGTTTTGGTATGTCTGCCCGATGAAATGATGCCCACTTTCAACAAAGTTCAAATATCCAAAACAGTATTATTAACTATAGTCACCATGCTGTATATTAGATCTACTAAAACATATCTATGTTATATGATTGGAACTTTGTACACTTTGAGCTGTATCACCCTTTTCCTCCACTCCCTCCAAGCCTCTGGCAGCCATCATTCTACTCTCTGCTCCTGTGAGTTCAGTTTTTTAGGATTCCCATTGTAAAGCTTGATTACTCTGGACAGGAATAAATATCGCTGGCTGTATAGTTAGAGGCATCACAAGGTCCTTCCTGCACTACAATAGCCATGCAGAGATAATATCCTTTTCATTTAACTAAAGCTACACCACATGACCTCAAACGAAGACATTAAAAATACAAATTTAAAAAGCAAAGGATAAAATGCTCTGGCTAGGTTGTGGCACTATCTTACCTCCTTATCTCTTTCAAGACAAGGAATTTATAGATCTAGGTTTTAGGATTTTTTTTAGGGGGGGGTCTTTTTTGAGGAAGGGTCTCCCTGTAGCCCCAGCTGTCCTGAAACTCACTATGTAGACCAGGCTGGCCTTGAACTCACAGAGATCTGACAGCCTCTGCCTCCCGAGTGCTGGGATTAAAGGCGTGCACCACCACACCCGGTTTTAGGATTTTAAAAGATTTATTTTCATCATTTCTTATTTATTTCTTAGTGTGTATGTGCATGCATATGTGTGCAGGTACCCACAGAGGTCAGAAGAGGGCGTCAAATCCCCCGAAACTGGAGTTATAAGCAGTTGGGAGCTACCTGACATGGGTGTTAGGAATCAAACTCAGGTACTCTACAAGAGCAGTATGCACTCTTCAGTGTTGATCCATCTCTCTAGGCCCTATGTGTTAGTTTTGACTCTGCCACCAACTACCTCTCTGATCTAGTGCAACAAGCTTCCTTCTCATTTTGTCTTGGCCATTGCTTCTTCATATATAAAACGGGACAATGCCGCAATCCATGAAACCCTCAGAAAGTTATGATTATTTAAATAATAATATTGTTAATAATGATTAGTACATCTGCTATTATTTTTGAATGCTAGTCTTTGTAATTATTGTCTTTGATCACAAGACAACTCAGAAACTATTAGTATCATACCCTTTTTAAAAGAAGAGGAAAACAGACCCAGAAAGGTGAGAAAACTTGCCCTCGATGACATGGATGACACAGGCAATGCACAGTAAATTGGGAACAGGACTAGGACTTGAATCAGGCCTCTTCTCTTGAGGCCAAGTGCTTTAACATTTGGCTGTATCACTTCATAAACCAGGTGTGAAAACATATTCACGATGTCAAACACTGAAATATGTTGCCTTATGCAAATTCAGGTCTGACTTCAGAAATGACTCACATATAAAGTGATGAATTATTTGGCTACTTTGTGTTTATTTTATGAGCTGGAAGGTATTTAACCTGATTTCCCCCCTTTAAGTCACACTCACTACTGTGAAAGTTAGGTCATAGGCATCATTTCCCTGAACCCTACTTTCTTCATCTTTCAAAGTGAAACCTTTCGCACTGGGTTGCTATAGGACTTTAAGTGAGGTCAGCCATGTGAAAGTTGAGCTCCTGATTTTAAAGACATGAACAGCAATGCTGTCTGCAGGCAGGGAAATGGGGGTCATGGCCTTCCTGGACACACTTCAACACTCCATGTGGAGAACAGGTATCTGCTGTGGTGGGAAGATATTTAGTCTACTGGAGAGCCAGAGGAATGCTTCTAGTCATCTGCTTCTGCTTGCTCTACCTCCTGCCCTCCTGAGACTCCCAACTGTGTGCTCAGCAATGAGGGACCCCTTCATGGATGAGGAAGAAGATCAGCCCTTCAAAGCAGGATCTGCCACACCTACTTCTAGCTCTCAGACAAGTCAAGAAAGGGGTCACCTGCTCTACTCACTTTTCCTCAATGATAGTCTGGCCATTACTTCTGGTTTCTTCAATAATGAGTTTTTCTTCCTCAGGGAGTAAGACTTGTGGGACGGAATCTTTGCGAGCACCTGAAAGTGAGGATTGCAAAAAGAGGGAAGGAGCATGATTAGCAAGCGTAATTTCTTGTTCTTAGGACTTTTCCACTGTCCTTTCAGAGGTGGCTTTCTTCACAGCATGTTGCTCCCTTGCACTCAGAGGGCAGCCATTCAACATTTGTCTCTTACATTTTCCTGACATGGAGAACTCTAAATTGCAAAATGACATTATCTGATTTTCCAGGAAGGGGCATTTTGCCTTAGGAAAAATAATGTGATACCTGCCATTAACCACAAGACCCCAGAAATTTTCCATTTTGTCTTTCCCAGAGAAAAGATTCGACCACTGGTCATTCTGTCTCTATGTATCTGCACAGAGTCACCTACCACATCTCATGCTCTGGTATTCTGTAATTTTAGTAAATATATGGTTGAGTTTAGCACTGGATACAACACACTCGACAGGGTTCAAAAAGCAGCATCTCCACCCACTCATTCCTTCTGAAGTCCTCTAGGGTAATGTAGGGTCACTTAAAACTATTTGGGTCATGAGTAGAGTGGAGCTGGGAGATTATCACATCAGCAAAGAAGCTCAAGTGTCTTCATTGCTCTCTGCCCAGACTGTGTCTATACTATGGGACAAAAGAGGTGACAGATGGGCACCAGAAGAAACCATTCTCTCAAACTTTCAACTTCCCAACCGCTCACATTGGATCCTTCTATCAGCTCAAATGTGTAATCTTTGTTCTCCCTGGACCACTGACCCTGTCTCTCCAGAGGTATACACATTCACTGCCTTTACTTGATCACTCCCCTCTTCTGAGGGGTGAGATATGTCTCCACTTTCCTTGGGGAAGAGCTCTTCATAGGTTTTTAATTAGTATACAGAAGACAATTGGATGGATGACTAGATGGATGGATAGATGAATAAAGAATGCAAAAAGAGCCAAGAGCAGTCAGTCCTTGCGAAACAGGACATTTGACTAGAGTGAGATAGAAGGCCACTGGGATACTGAAAGGTCTTTGTGTCTTGAGCACGGTGCTGGATACTTTGCATATGAACAAGGGAGACTAGCGAGGAGGAACAAAATTGTACCTCTGTAAATTAGATCGCATGCCTGAGCTTTCACCTCTGAGTACATGGATGGATGCTACTGATATGAAAACATGTGGAGTGGAGGAGAGATGATGTCAGATTTTGTATGAGGAACACCCCTCTGTTGTCACTTCATCCCCCCTTTTCTAGCTTTCACAATAAAAACTCTTGCTTTCCTCTCCTGCCTCATCAACACTTATTAGACCTGGGCATGCCTGAAGCTACAGTCAGATTTTCTGTGTGGAACAGTGTCCTTCTTCATGGTCAAATGTATTGATTTCCACATCAAATGCTTTCCTCTTGTGACAGCCTGGAAAGAGCATGTTAAGGTAGGTAGTCTCCTAAGAAACCTCTCTCATGCCAAGAAACTGGTCAATAGCTGTGCAGAATGTAGCTCTATGGAGCATTTGTTTCCTATACAGAAATGAAAAACTTCATAAAAGGCATCCTGAATGTCTATGGTGATGAAAGATGAAGGACACAATCCATGTGACTCAGATTCAGAAAAGCACAAGGATTCACCAGAAGACATAATCAAGGTTTTTACGTCTGAACGCTGTTTAGGGAATGCTCTCAGCTGACAGCTTCCTGAAATATTTTACACATTTTGAAGTGCTTCTGCTGCACAGATACATGTCCATATTTTCAGAGCTACTTTGAAACTTGAATTTGGTGAAGGAAGCATCGTTTGCTTAGGCATCGTTCACTTAAATATGTAGCTGATCAAAGATAATACTTTGACTTCCTTTCCAATTCTGCCTATAAGAAGAGATTAACATCAGTTCACAGAGACAGGAACTCTCTGGGCTCTTATTCCTAACTAGTGTTGGTGAAGGCATCTGTGTACATCAAAAAAGAATGACTTTTTAAAATTCTTTTTCATATCTATTACCTCCAACTTTTTCCCTCTTGCACCCCTTTTTCTCTTTGGGTGAAAAGCGACAGTGAATAAACACACTGCTCCGTAGCTAAAACTGCCTTATCTAAGATTCAGTCCCGCACCGCTGCTCTGCACCAAGTCACATGCTTTCCACACCCTGCAATTTGATCTGTAGAGACAGTGAACAGCAAAGAACAAATTCCATTCATTAGAGAAAACAGTATGGGGAAACCTACTGAGCCATTACCTTGTTGAAAATTGGCACTGGTGCAATAGGCTTCGATCACCTTAAGAATCTGAGCATCCTCTTCCAGGGCAGCCGTACCTGTCAAATTTAATTAGTAATGACTTCTCAGAGATATATACCCTTGGACCCTCAAAATGATTCTGTGCATGTCACTGTCAAGGACTCAGAGTAATTCTGAAAGGGAGGCAAAAAAGCTGCTCAGCCCTCATGATGGAATAGAGCAATAACAACCCACAGGGCTCTAGGGTCAACCTCAGTGTGTTAAGCAACAGGGCAGGAAGGTACTGATCCTGAAGGTACTGATCAGAACTCTAAATGAGTGGGAATCCTGTCAGTCATCTCTTTGGGGCTAAACTTAACAATATCAAGTTCTTCTTGCCAGTTAAATTCCAGGGCTCATAAACTTCTTTAGGAGCTACTTCCTATTAACCTCACCCATCTCAACCAGCCAGCAGAGTCACTGATTCTCCCTCCTCCCCTCCCAACTCATTCTTAAAATGGTCAGATGATAGCACTCTTCTAATAAGTTTAGGTGTGGATGGTGTTGGGGATGCAGTTCAGTAAAGAGTTTTGTAGATAAATAGATATATGATAGATAGATAGATGATAGATAGATAGATAGACAATAGATAGACAGACAGATATAGAGTTATATACAGAGAGAAACAGAGAGAGACAGAGACAGACAGAGATACATATAGAGAGAATGTGTCACATAGTACAGGCTGGCCTCAAAATTTGCTATGTAGCTGAGGATGCATTAGAACTTCAGATCCTCCAGCCTCTACCTCCCACATGCTGGGATTTCAGGCATGTGCCATCCATGCCTCTTTTATGTGGTGTTAGAGATCAAACCCAGAGATTCATGCATGCTAGGCAAGCACTCTACCAACTGAGCCCCAGCCCTAGCCCCAGCCAATATTTATGTAAACTTTATTTTTGACTTTACATACAGTGCTGCTGTCTCTTTGGGGCACATCAATGACTCTTTCACGTATGTCCGAATGTTAACTTGTTCACAACTTTAGAGGCAAATGTAGATGTATCACTTGGCTGGCTGACTTTACAGTCAACCCCTAAATAAATCCCTGTGTCTGGATGTCAGCAGATTGAATCATTGGCTAACTGAGAAAATCCCTGAGCATTAGACTACCAGAAGGATTTCAGCCTTTCGGTCTATTTAGTCTATCCATTCAGGAAAATATTCCAGGCATCAGAAAGTGAGAGGGGGAAATATGTCCATAGCAAATGTACTCCTGTAGGGGCTCTAAACCAAGTAGGGTGAAGTGTTCTGCATCATGAAAACAATACAGATAGACTTCTGTCAGGAAGTGCAGCAGGAGGCAGCTTATTCAAGTCTTAGAGATGACCAAACGTTTCCTTGTATTTGTATAACAGATGATGCCAAGAACAAACTGCTCTAATTAGCTACTTTTAAAAACTCTCATGTTAGTTCACCCATAAATAACTTTCAGAACACATACTTTTCCTAATCACATATTCCTCTTCAGATGCTTTTCTCTCTGTTTTTCTTTTGTGAAGAAACTTCTTCATCGTTTTAGGGCTCTTACTAGATTCCTGTAAGGATAAAAGTTTCTTCATGAATTATAAATAAGTTCACCCCCAGCACAAATTAAAATAAAGCAAATAAAATGAATCAGAATGCATTCTCTTATCTTGATAGCATCAGTTAGGAGTGCATCCAAATGTTATAGTACCCATGCCAAAAATGGCTCCAGTAAACTCTACAAGATTAAACAAAACAGAGGCAATGACATTCCATTATCAATTCCCAAAGGAATTAATGGGAATAAAAATGGAGAAGGATGCACATTCTCCAGGATGGTCAGCGCTGTTAGGATACTATCTGCGGAGTAAGTAATGGAATGTCAACCCTAGTAGAATACCAGCATTCCTAACTTGGGCTCTGGTCCCTACAGATACAATGTGAAGGGAATCAAATAATCAATGCAATTAGTCATATCCTTTTTCAAAGTGTTTTAAACTATTTAAATTAGCTTTTCTTATCAGCAGTCTCACACAGAAAAATATAATTTCTATTGGTCAGATGGACACGCTAAGGCAGAGAAACTACATCATTTTCTCAAAGTCAGAGAGAAGAAAAATAATTTGGGGTTAGGAGTAACACACCCACACCCAAGTTAATATATGGATGAAGCCACGATTTGAATTAGTAGATAAAAGAGATGGGAATGAATGGATTTGCTTTTGCCATATGTATAATTGGTCATTTGAAAAAAAAAAGATCAATGTTAATATTCAAGGAAACAGATTAGAGTCTTACACTTAGGAAAATGCCCTCAAGATATCCTGATATTCCATACTATCATCCATCCATCCATCCATCCATCCGTCCGTCCATCCATCCATCCATCCATGACCCATCCCCCCCCCGTACCTCTGTATCAATCTATCTACCTGATACATGGATAATACTTGGTAATTTAAAATATATGAAACAAAGACTTCAATTGCCTTCACTTAGCCACAGTGGTCCACTTGGACTTGAAAACAGGCAAACATGAGAAACCCACACGTGATCAAAAGTAACATGAAAAAGTAGCATTAAAAATAGGAAAATGGATGGACTGGAGAGAGAGCTCAGAGACTAAGAGCACTAGCTGCTCTTGCAGAGGACCTGGGTTCCCACATAGCAGCTAAGAACCATCTGTAACTCAAGTTCCAGGGAATCTGACACCTTCTGACTTCTGTGGTCAATGCATGACCTACACCTACTTACATGCAGGCAATACACTCATACACATAAAATAAAATAATACACACAAAAATAAATAAAATACTAAAAATTGGAAAATGCAGATTTTAAAAGCATGATATATAAGGTGACATTTTTATATGAATCAAACACAAGCCTGCTTTTTAGGAAAGTACTTACATGTCAGAATTGCATCTTCATGTTTTAGCCACCAATTATTACAAGGGACACAACAAACATAAGGGAAAACTTCATTCAGCAAAGGTTACAGCACATTATAATGTCACTGTAAGCCAAAGATATTGTTCTACCCTTACCTTTAAGATATAAGACATCCTCTAAAATGAATATGTAAAGAAAGAGAAGATGAGCGTGAGAGGTCGATGGTTATAATGACCAAATCCATTTATCAATAATTCTAAAACAACATTTGAAATGTTAGTGTTATCATAAATTACATGAAGAGAATATCATCACTTTCCCACATTAGTTTCAGATGCAATATCATCATGCAAAAGAATACAGTTCTGTGCAGAATTACAAATGCTGAAAATTACTGAAACACACAGTATTTAGAAAGAATATATTAATAACTCTCTTCCCCAGCAGAAACAAAGTGATCATGCCTTAGTTTTAATAGATTAGTTATGTGAAGGATTAAGACAACTTTACCCTTCAAAGCTCACCTTCATATGAATTTAGTAACTGACAATTGCAAAATGTCCATTATTAAAAAGGGGAATAGGTTACTATGATGTGGCATTCCTCGTTTAAGTAATCAAAGAAAACCGAATGATTGCAGGTCACTTTCAAAACAAATCCATGGGACCACTCTCTACCACATTCTGCATAGAAGTATATAAAAAAACAATTCTTCTCAAGTCTTGTGCCTTTCATCATGTGAGTAGAAAAGGTCAAAAAATCCTCTAGTGTTCATATATTGCTCAATTTTACGGCACTAAGAGTTGGAGACAACATTAATTTAAAACAGAAGCATGGTGATTTAAACCAAAACATACTGAAAATTGAACAGTCTCCAAGATCAAAACACATTTGACAGAAAATGCTACACTGTTTTACACCAAAATTCTAAGGGCTTTTTCCTAATAGTCACCAACTTACTCTTCGTGCAATATGATCTATTTAAGGAACAGTTATTAATAAATGAGCATCTTTTTATGGAATCTGAAACAACTAGAAGTATGTTAGAGGGGGAAACCCAACTGAATGGAAAGGGGAACATTGTGTAGTTATGGGAGCTAGTGATTGGCATGCCTTGACAGCAACTTCTAGAGTAAAAGACCAGCCACCTTGGTCACTCTATATCCTGGCAGCACCCTAGCCAAATATCAAATATCCTGTAAGGTTGTTGCTGACAAGCAGCTCTGCAAAAAGACATTTTTTTCAGTAAATTCTTCTTTCCACCACAGCAACTACCACTTTAATAGTTTAGATACATGGGTTAGTCCCATGACATTTTACTAATCTGGTTTCACCCATCAAAATGCTACAAGATGCAGAATGGGTGCATGATTAGAAAATTCAACTTCCAAAGTTCTTCTTGTTTGAGACGTGTATATGCATGGTTAACTAATTCAAAGAACTATTGTAGCCGTGTAGATAGAAAACAGGTACTTGAGGAAATGACTGGATAAATAGGCAGTACATGTGAACCCTGTGGATATTCAGTGTGTGCAGATGGGCAACAGGGAAATGAAAAAGTAAGATACAATCACCGAGTCTATCAATTGATGAGATTATATATATATATATATATATGTATAATCAGCCACCAGAAATTCTAGCACATACTCACTGAACTATTTGTGATAAGCTTCAAAATTAAGTGGTCAGAAGCATTTTATACCATTTGTAGCAAAATTACCTCTTTATAACCTAGTGCTGCTGATGGTCTAAGTGGAGGTGCAGGTCGTAGGCAACTTAAGCTCCACGGTTTTATAATTTGAGGAGGCTCCAAGGGTCCTCGGGGCTGTCCGGTAGAGCTAAAAGACTGGGAAAATGTCTCATGAGATGCTAGCAATCTGCCATCTGAACCCGACCTGGTACCACACAGTGAGAAAGCGATAATAGCTTCATTGGATCAGAAAAGCCAGCCACAAAAAGGAAAAGATGGAAAAGCAAATGTGTCCAGTCTAAAAATTGACAATTTCTATCGAATATTATGGGGTCTTTAAGGAAAACCACAAAAGTGACTCAATATTCCATGATCCTGTCTTCTCTCTCTTCTGAAATTTCACTCAAGGAAGAAAATTTTCCTCTGTCAGGGAGGAAAATGGAATAACAGGAACTATTCAAATCTAGTGGAGTGATTGGCCCCATATTAGCTTCTTAAATGGGTTATTTTATCAGAATAAAGTACAACAGACTTACCAAAGCAAAGTAATAGGCTAGTGACTGACAAAGAGAGTATTTGAACCCAGATCTGATGCCAAAACCTAAGTTGTGCCACCATAACACAGCACTCAAAACCGGAATCTTGACAACACAGGTTTGAATATTAACAGACAACACAACACAGCTTCCATTTCACTCAGCAAGTACAGTAAAATCTCATCAATTCAAATTCTGTGAGTTCTAAATTGCTGATAACTTAGAAGACAGTGCTAAAATTTTCCCCTTAGAGGAGGTTACTGAGCAGATGTAAAAGCATGAGTGAGATTACATGGAGATGTTTAAGCACTCGGAGAAGAAAACTACTTGCTTTGACTTAGCACATTATTAATATGAGAACCATAATTATGAAATAAATGTCTTGTCACTAAAACCTCTTAGCAGGACTTCTGACGGGAAATACTTGAGTAGTAGTTAGCTGAACTATCTTAATACTGTTGACCAAAACTGCAAACATCTAAGTAAAACTTTTTATTAATTTGGATGGGCTCACAATGAGAAACCAGAATTAGTGAGGTTTAACTGTACTTCAGAATCTACAGATAATGACTACCCGAAGACAAAGGGCATGCTTGCTGCTTCTTACAAGTCTTTAGCAGACAGAGTTTGACAAAATCTTCAATAATCCCTGGACAAAACCAATGGAATACTTACGGAATGAGCACTACACGATGATGATGTTTTGGATAATGAACTGCAAGAGGCTGGTCCTCTGGTCAGTCTGCTCAGCTGCTCCAACCATTCCTGGAAGTCCTGGCTATTGTTGCAATGGACCACAGTTCTCTCTACCATGTTACCTGCATCACCGAATCAAGAACATTTGAAAACAGAAGCAAGGAGCTTGTCTTACTTGTAAATATGCTTGACTTGGGTGTCTATTTTCTTTTTTATGTCTTTAAATGTTTTCATTATTTTTATTTTTAATTTTATATATTTTATTGAACTTTTGTGTATTTCATACACAACATCATAATCATCTTTATTCCTCCTACCCCACTTGCATCCTCTCATAGCCCTCCCACCAGATTTCATGCATTCTGTCCTTTATGTTAAGGCCTATCAAGTCAAGTTAGTGTATTCAGACGTCCCTCAGTGCAAGCTCATCCACTGGGGTGTACAGCCTATCTAGAGTCACTCCCTGAAAGATTAACTCTCCTTCACCCAGCAATAATCAGCTGCCAATAGTTCTTTGGCTAAGACTGGGGCCTGCTGCCCTTTTTCCCAGTTCTACTCTGGATTTTTGTGTGCTTGAATTTCATGGTCTTGTGCATGCTGACACCATTGCTGTAGATTCATATGAGCAAGGTCCTAGGAGCCTGTAAGACTCTGAAGGCTTTCTTGTCATATACAAGAAACAGTGCCAGACAGGAGAAACCTTCCTTTGAGCTGGATGTCAATTCCAAGCGTCTCCTAATTTTTGGGATAACCCTTGCAAACTTCAATATTAGGAATTGATAACTTGTGATAATATGATAAATGATTATTCCAATTTGATTTCTAAAATTGTCCTTGATTTTTACCACTTTACAGACTCTCAGAAGTAATGTAAAATGTCCATCTAGTACATGATATAAGAATATTGTACTGTTTTGCCCAGCATCCTTATTGAGGAATATGGGTATTGATAAAGCCAAGGGACATTGACTCAGTCTTCACCACTGTTACACTGGTGCAAAAGTACATCCATTACATGTAAATCACCCAGGCCTGACAAATGGGGAAATAGCTCAAAATGTCAGGGAGCATTATCAAGATCTGGCATTTTTCTCAATTTGTATAGAAAGTTTCATGGCTTCTCAGCACTTTTTTTTAGAAACACAAGCAAGCCTTTCTAGTTTACCGGCTCATGATAAGATTGGTGATGAAAGTGCACATCTTTGGCTCCCCTGCCACTACATGACGCAGAGGGAGAACATAACATTTACATCATTCCATTTTGTTATACTCTAGCTCTCACACGTAGCTCTTATGCAAGAGAAGATAGAAACTAATGGCAAAGCTGAGGCTTTTAAGTGACCAAGAGACTTCTCTGCTCTCTCATTTTACCCTACTTATTCCAGGAAATGGAATATACTTTGCCATATCCATGGAAAACCTGCTTATGGACTATACAAGAGAAAATAATAGCACTTATTTGTTTAAACTTCACTTTATTTCAAAAAGGATTTAAAGTAGCTAGATGAAAAGAAGAAGATTACCTACCCATGATTTCAAATGTGCAGTCGTTGCCCTCGCTTTCATCTAGCCTAGTCACCACCATGCCTGCTATTGGTATTTTTCCCTACCAGAAAAAAAGAGCATTCCCATTAATTCTCTGATTGTTTGTTTTTCTCTTGGACTTTTTGATCCTCTGAGGAATCACTACTGAATTACAGCTAGCCATATTTCTCTAGACTGACAGCAGATAATGTTTCTCTAGTCTACATGTTAATCAGATAAGAAAGCATGGGAGAAATGTGTATTCGACTAGCACACCTTAATTCTAAAACAGGATTTCCAAAAGAGTTTACTTGCTAACATATTTTCATATGAATTGATAAAGCAAGTAAAGGCTCAGATTTTATGAAAACTGGCAATGGTCAAGACCACACATAACAGAGAATAATAACATAGTGCTTTACATGTTAGGGACAACCTGGGGCAAAATCAATTCCCTGATGCATTTAAGGACTTGCTTTTATAAACCCTAATCATGTGATAAGACAATAACAGGATCAGATGTCAGGTTTGAATTTCTAAGCAATAATGATAGGGGTCTGTAAAATGTTGTTGTTAATTTACTCAACTGTAGACTTAGACTTCTATTTATACAATAGAAAACTTAGCTCATAAGCAGAACAGCAGATAGAACAGACTAATACTAATACAAAGGGCTTTGATCTGAAGCACATCTGGTCTTATAAGCTGTTTAATTACAGCGAAGGGTCAGAACACTTGGACTTTGCAAGCTTGACCTTTCAATGGCATCATATGTAGGTATCACATCTGAATGGAAGCCTTTGTCATCTCGCCTCTGCTATTTGTTTCATATGAAATCTACTCACCTGATAAATAAAGCCACTCATCCGAGGACTTGCAGATAACATTATCAAGACATTTGAGAACAGCATAAGATACCGTTCCTCTTTTTCCTATGGTAAAATATAAATTGGTGAAGGGAGAACAGAAGTTGAACTGTTTTTCCTAAGATATTCTGAATCGATGCTTTGGAATATAGACTTTATATAATCAACTGGAACGCTAGCAGTGCTTTTTTTTATGATAACCGACTCAAAACACCAAGCAGGTGTGTAGATTGTTCCCCAAGTACCTAAGTCTAAGAACCTACATAGATTACGCAGCCAGTGTAATATGCTAATCCTAGATTCAAAGTAAGCCTCTAGGTTTACAAAACTAAAATATAATTTTATTTTGAAAACTGGCAGAGGGGAAACATCTTTCAAGAGATAAGAAATATATTATCTGCTATTTATGTTAATTTATTCATAAATTTTAAAAATATTTTATTTATTTTCATTTTATGTGTATGAGTGTATTACCTGCATGTATGTAAGTGTACCTGTGACATGCAATGCCCACGGAGATCAGAAGAGATTGTTGGATTCCCCTGGAACTGGAGTTATAGATGGTTTTTAGCTACCATGTGGGTGCTAGGAATTAAACCTGGAACCTCTGCAAAAGCAGTCAATGCTTTTAACCACTGAGCCATCTCTCCAGCCCCTGTGAAATTATTTTTAATAATTAAGAAAGGGATAATTATGGGCTATGGAGATGGTTCAGGGGGAAAGTGCCTGATTTTTAGGCAAAAGGCCCTGGATTGAGATTCCGAGCCTCCATATAAAAGCTGAGCATAGCAGTGAGCATCTATAACCCTGGTGCTAGAGGGTCTGAGACAGGTGAATCCCACAGGTGTACTGGCAAGGCAGTTTAGCCAAAATCTCTAAGCTCCAGGTTCACTGAGATACTCTGTCTCAAAAAAAAAAAATGTAGCCCAATACAGAAAGACATCTAACATCGACCTCTGGCCACCACATGCACAAACACATATGGGTAAGAGCACCTGCACGCGTGTGCGTGCGCGCGTGCGCACACACACACACACACACAAACACACACGCACACACACACACACACACGGTTACTGCATAGCATGTTAGACAAAGAAATACATACATGTTTTAAAATTTTTATGTGGATTGCTTTGTCTGTGTGTGTGATATTGGAGACCAACCCAGGGCCTCATGAATATTCACACTTTTTCACTGACTTAGCCACCTCCAGCCCAATTTCATGGTTTTTTTATTGACATATAATGTATTTGTATGTATTTATGGGGTATAGAATGGCATTTCAATTCATGTACACCTTCTGTAATGACCAAATCCGGGTAATTAACATATCTACCATCTTAAACTTTTATCATTTCTTCATGGTAAGTACATTCAAAATCCTCTCTTTTAGGGCTGGTGAGATGGCTCAAATGGGTAAAGGTATTTGTCACCAAGTCTGATAACCTAATTTCAGTCCCCAGGGCCCACATAATGGAAGGAGAGAACCAACTCCCACAAGTCGTCCTCTGATCTCCACAAGTACATCATGTCTTGTACCCGTGTTCTTGTGTGCATGTATGCATGAGTGTATACACAAAATGAGTTTATTTATTTATTAATTGTTTTTAATAAATTTTTAATAAATTGATTTTAACAAATGGTTTTTAAGTGAAAGAAAATCAATCTTATCTTGTAATTATTTTAAGACACATTATAATGCATTACAGTCAACTACATTTTTTGGTTGCACTAAAGTAACCTTAACATATGAGGGCTGCTCTGAACCCCTTAAGTAGATTCACAATTAGTAGGTACAAAAATGCCTTTGGACACAATTACCTTCCTTGCTGTCTCCACTTCCTCCTTTCCACTTGAGAAGAATAACCCTTCAGAGCTAACCTTTTAACCAGGATGCTCTATGTTCTCTCAGAACATTTTCTTGTCCAATTTCCTTCTACAGATATCTCCCTTCTTCATCAGTCTATCCTGTTTTACTAGGTCCACCTCTTTTGCCTTTAACATATGCTCATCTCCTTCTAAAAGGCCTTGCTTACCCCCATAAGGATCTTCATTCATAATAGCGCATTTCTTGACATTTTATTGCTAAATTACTTGCTGCCTTCATTTTCTCTCCATTGATTCCTCCCTAACTTCACTTTCCCACTGCTGTTTCAAAGTCATCAATAACTGCCTTCTAGCAAAATCCAATGGCTTCTCCTTCGTCCTCGTACTCCTTGACCTCTGAACCTTCCACAGTGCTCAGCTTGCTGGCCACTTTTGAGTGCGCCTCCAGGAATTTCTGTGACTCCACAACCCCCCCAGTTCTTTTCTACTGGCTTATATTTGCCCCCAGCATAGTTCCAAACTGATTCCTCTTCCTTTTACCCAAGGGGTTTATCCTAAAGATGTGAATGACTAATAGTCATCCTCACTGCATTAACCTTCCCCAGGGCACAGGCATCTTCAATGAGATTGCTTATTAGCCTGAAGTAATGAATCTCTGCCACAAGACATCAGAGGATATAAGAAGGTGTTTGGGGAGAGGGGAATCAACTCTAACACCCAATAAATCATACCAGGTCACATAATCAACCTTTCCCCTACCCTGGCCTCTTCCTAAAAGAAATAATCCATCTTCAATCCCTGTGCTTCTCATTGGATATTTTCTTCCTAGAAAGGCACATCTGTCAGGGACATCTAAATCTGTCTGTAGCTGTGACCTCTCACCCACATTTCCAAAGTGCATTAACTGCTTACAGGACATCTTCACCCAGATATCTATAGTATTTTGAAAGTTAGCAGTTCTAAAGTATATCTAACATGTTCTCTAGCCCATAAGTCACCCCTTTCTGTTGATGTTACCAGCTAAATATACCTCAAAGTCACCCTTTTTCCCCATTCTTTCCGTCACCATCCTGGTTGAAGGCAATTCTCACTTCCCATCTTAGCTAGTCCCATGCCCGCCTGATACATAACTCTCAAATTAAAGGTCAACCAGCCCTACATCTTGCTTTTCTGCTACTCAAGACTCTTTTCATTGTTCCCTGTTGCCTGCTATGTTAGTCTGAACTATCCTAACCTGGCGTGTAACATTCATTAGAATCTGGCTCAAAGGGCTAAATGTGTACCTCAGTGCAAAAGCACTTATCTTGCCCTGGATACCATCCCCCAACACAAGAAAATATCACCTGGGTCAATTTTTTTCTTTCACTTTGTCTAACATGCTCCCTCCAATACCAGCAGTCTAGTTTCCTTGCTGTTTTGCAAACAAAAACCCACCAAATTTCACATTCCTGTTCTCTGTTGAAAGAGCATCCGTTTCTCTTATTATGCTTCTATTCCTTGAGTCCTATCTCCATAAGGTCTTGGTCTCTCCCTTGTGTGAACTGGTGTGGATGGTATTATTGAGGTTGCATAATCCCACGCAAACAATTTGCTTTGTTTTCTAGCTGTAACTGAGATTTCAATGCTATTTAACCATGGATGGGTCAGTCATCAGTCTTCCAGTTATGAATCTCTCTGTTTTCTACGTGTTCATTGGAAGCAGGGATCACTACTTATTCCTTCTTCCTGCACCCCACTGTGACTAGCAGAGTTTTGGGAGGAGAAAAAATTGCTCTATTTCTGATCCAAACGTTGAAGAATTTGACCTTGAGAGAAGGACAAATAAAGGAAGGGAAATATGAAAGTTGGAAAGAACCATGCTGAGAATTGAAGCACCTCACCTCACAGCTTCCATACTGCACAATTACTTGTGACATAAAGATCACATTTCCCAAGGTTTTAATATCCTCTCCTTCCCATGCCTGAATGGGTTCAGACAGTATCTGCAACTCCAGTTGTTTCCTCTTTCTCAAATCTTGGCACTGTCCCTACAGATACAAAACAAAATATAATGAAATAGGAATTCTTATGAAACAAATTTGTGAAAGATCTCAGACCCAAAACAAGTTCAAAATACATTGTGGCTTTTGGTTCTGATTCTTATTGGATCCCTTTATGCCTTATCCTGAATCCCATGACCAGTCCTATTTCTGACAGACAAATATACTACATAGCCTTGAACCTCTAAAAATTGTGTAAAGATAATTTTTATTTTTGCCAAAGTGTCAAGAAAAAAATGGTAATAAGGGACTTATTTCTCCCTCCTGATGAGAAGCCTGGGGAGACAAGGAGCACACTCCCACCCAACAGAGCCAAGAGAGCAATGAGCTACTTTCCACCAATCTATCTTTGAATACCCAGGGCTTTATTTCCAAAGCAATTTCATATATATGATGCATGCTCGCTTTCTTACAACGTAGCAACCTGATAATAACAAAAAACAACAATAATGACTCCAAAGCTGGAAAGTCAAGCAGAAGCAGGTGGATCTCTACGAGACTGAAGCCAACCTGGTCTACATAGTGAGTTCCAGGCCAGCTGGGACTATAGGGAGATCCTATCTCAAAAAAAAAAAAAAAAAAAAAAAAACTTACTTTGAGAGTTTTAGAAAAAGAGAATGCCAAAATAATTTATTTTTATGTCACTGTAAATCAAACTGAGCTTGTCATGAACCATATGCACTGCCCTAACTTTGTTTAGAGAGCAATAGTACGTTGTTGTAAAATATGAAGTTAACGTTTATTCCTAAAAGGATTGGAAAATAGATACAAGTGAATTTCATAATGACTAAATTACAAATTCAAATCAAGAAATAGTTTGCCAATACTATGATAGCGCATGAAAACATATATATCTGCAACAGAAAGTATGAAGTTCTCTTAGAGTAACAGTATCCATTCCAAAATGAATAAAAGCCTAAGTATATGGCTTGTTATTTTACTGCTTCCAAATGCGTGTACTATAAAACATTTTGGAATTCATTTTTCTGTAAAAATCTCTGTTGTATCATTCAAGTAAGGTTTTAAGAAATAAGTACATTATGCAGATTTTTAAGGCACACATATTTGAAATAAATATACTAGCATCATCAAAGCCAGTTTTACAGCACGAGCAAAAAGAAACATATTTGTTTTTTGTTTGGGATTTAATTTTCATTTTTGTTTATTTGTTCAGACAGGGTATTATATATCCCAGCCTGGCCTCAGATTCACTATGTAAATAAGGCTGAGTTTGAATTCCTGATCTTCTGCTTCTGTCTCCCAAGTGGTGATATTATAGGCATGCACCACCATGCCTGGCACACACTTATTTTTGTTGTGATGGTTACTATTGTTTGTTTGCTTGCTTTTAAGAGACCTTTTATGCTCATTTACATAGGATAGAAAAAAAGAGTTACAAGTTTGAATGGCCTGTTGAGCCATATAGAGCTGCCAATATTTTTACCAATTTTGACCTCCAAGAGCAGCAAATTTATCATGATTACCTTGCCTGATCTTCAATTTGCTTTTTCACTATGGACATGTCAGTTACCACTATTTCAACAGTAATAACAATGAAATGATGATAAATGCTACATCATAACCTTCCAACAAGAATCAAAAGTTGAGCATTGGCCCAAATCACTTAAAATGCTCCAAAAATGTCAAAAAAATATAGCTAAACTTAACCATTACTCAAAATAAAGGTTTCTTTTCCTTCTAAAATGGCATCAAGTGGTTTTACATTACTGGGTTTAAGAAGATACATCAGCCATGATGCTCAAGATGCAAGCTTACAGGTGTCTTTAGCAGTAATCTATATTAAGCAATTCCATTTTAGTACACTGTTTTTCTTTTTATGAAGGATTTCTTTTTCATCTTCAAAGAAGAAAATTCATATCTTTTGGCATAAGTAGTTAAATCCAGTACTGATGCCAATCAGTGAATGATGAGTTATATAGACATAGGGTGAGCAATGGGGGTAAAGACAAAGAGACAAAAGGAAACTCCCCACCTACACACCAGTGCTTAATGTGGCCAAGACTTCAAATGCAATTGCTTTATACCCTCAGCCTGGCAACCTTTCATAAGTAAGCATGATTTGGGGAAGACAAAATGAAATGTAAGAATCATTGAATTACTGTCATGAAAGCCTACTGTTTCCATCTTAAAGACCTTTGCATAAATAAAGAAATGTTACACACAAATTACTCTTTCAGGAGCAAAGTATACAAAATGGAGAATGACAGAGAGCATCACCTACCATGAGCATTTTGAATGCTATGATTGCTTTCAGAATGTCCTGATGATCAGGATGAGTGTCCTATCAAAGGAATACATTTAAAAATCATATTAGAGGAGAAGGGATCATCAGTTGCCATGCGTAGAGTGGACTAAAAGTGTGACCACAGAAGCCGATGAGATGGCTCAGGGGATAAACACAATAGCTGTCAAGCCTGATGACCTGAGTTCCACCCCTGAGACATACATGGTGGAAGGAGAGAGAAGTTGTCCTTTGACCTTCACACAAGTGCTGTAACATGTGTGCCCCTTCCCCCCAATAAATAAATAATTTTAATAAAAGATTAAAAAGAAAGGAAAGAAAAATATTTTAAGCATAAGCAGAAAAGGATAGCAAGAATTAATTGGGATGAGTGATGGAAGTGGTCTGTATTTTGTAGTGATATCATGAACCTACACCTGTGTTAAAATTCATGGACCTATGAACCAAAAGAAAATTTCCTTTCATCAATTTAAGATTTTTTTCATTTTTAATTTGTGTGTGTGTGTGTGTGTGTGTGTGTGTGTGTACATGAGTACAGCTGCCTGTGAAGGCAAGAGGCATCAGATCCCACTGAAGCTAGAGTTATAGGAAGTTGTAAACCACCCGAGATGGGTGCTAGGAACTAAACTTGGAACCTCTATAAGAGCAGTATGCTCTCTTAACTGCTGAGCCTTATCTCCTAACCCCCCCCCCAAAAAAAATCTCAATCTTCTAATTACTGAAAGTACTGAGATGCTAAATTCTGGTCTATTTTTTAAGCTGTAAATTAGCATAGAGTATAACTGACTTTTTTCAATATAAAATTATAGTTTACCACTGTTTTTCAACTGACAAGTAAAATTATGCATGTCTATGGTGTACGATATGATGTTTTAATATATGAATATACATATACATTGTGGAATAGCAGTTTCTAGCCAAGAAAAATGAACTTTTAAGACAATGGGTAACATATCATATATATTTAGTAAAAACTTTTCATTTTTGATGTTATACTTTGGGTGATAAATATTTGATAATAAAAATAATAATTAAATAATTACTTGAAGGAATATCGTGGATCATATCATATACCGAATGGTGAGGTATGTGGATGTATTAGATCTGCCTCACTTGGGGGTGTATATATACCCACCTCCTGAACTCAGCTGGAGCAATGGGAAAGCCAACTCTGCTCACCCAGTCTCAGTAGAAAACAGAGGACAAAACAGACTAGAGGTCTAACTCAAGCCACAGGTGGTATTCCTCACAGAAAATCAGTGTGTATTCTTTTATAGTAAAATTGGTCCTTATCCAAAACATCTGACAACTAAGAATCTCAGGCTCTTTTTCTGCTCTTAGCCAGCAATCATGCTAAGTGATTAGAAATCTGGATAGTGTCATGCCATGTGGTACACTAGCAGGAAGAGGGTGTACCATCTGATGGTGGGAACCAGAAGGGAGTCAAAACCAATTTAACTATATTTAGGCTGGTTGAGAAACAGGCTCCATTGTGAGGAAGGCAGGCAGGAGGGGCACCTGGGAGTTTTTCCCCAACTTAAATGTGTGTTCCTAGTGCAGCACTGAAAAGTAATAGATGCTGAGGCCACTGGTTTCTGAAATTTTATGATAAGAAGAGGAAAACCTCAAACGGTTCATTGAACAGGTCTAGTATATGGAACAGTATCCAGAGGTCAACACCTTCCTGAGCCCCAACTGAAATTTCATTCTGGCAGCCTTTACTCACCCGTTCACCCACTGCCTCCAACTTTCAGGCAGCTCAAACACCCTGAGAATGTGGTTTCACTCAAGAGAGCATGCTTTCAATCCTTACAAACGCTGACAAGCACAGCAGCATGCAACCTTTTTCTTTAAAGATAATCAACCCTTTTAAAACCTCAAAACCTTTCCCCAGACACAGGAAGAGCAACTAGGGTAAACACAGTCTTTCCCACCCACACCTCAGTACCCCACGCACGATCGTGAAAGAACAGCTCAAAGCGCTATCACTGCTGACTGGTTTTTTAATCACAGTGGGAATAGAGCTCTTAAAGTTCAGTTATCAAGCCTTATTGAAAATCATAACATTTTGAAAAGATTATAGTTGCACGACAGCTGTTGCAAATAAGCTCTAAGTTTATACACAAAAATGTGAGGGGACTTTGATGTATATGTACTGATCTACAGAGATACACTAGTATTGGATCCATTTACTGATCTTTAAGGAATGGCAAAATCTTCCATTATGATCCAGAGTTAGAAAACTGAATGCTCACAATATTCTTGAGATAAATATTCCTATCTGCAGTAAACATGTTCTTCATATTTTCTTTTTCTTTATATTATTCTTCATTTTCTGATGGTGGTTTGCTTTATCTACCACAATAAAGTTGGTTAACACACCAGAATGACAGAGATTTCTAGGTCTGAGTGTTGCTAAACCATCATCTACAGATCAGAGGGCAAAGGAAAACTTAAGTCAACAAGTAAGCATAGATAATAGAGGCAACAAGACCAAGGATTGGAAGGGAAGAGGGGAGAAGGGAAATAATGATGAACAGGTAGCAGGAAAGAATGGGGTTCTTAATGTGTTGCATAAAGAAGAAAGCTGCATAAAATAAAGGGAGGAGGGAAGATCAGATCAAATAAAATCTGAAACCAAGAATATTTTCTGGATCCTTAGCAAGGCTAGTTTGGAGGCAGACCATCTGCTTCCCACAGCACAGAAGACCAGTTGGTAAAGGACCTTGCTACAGCTTGTCTTCCCTTACCTCCATATGCCGTTCCAACTCTTGCAGAAGAGTAACATACTTTTCCAGTCGCATGAATGGTTTGCTGAGGCTTGTTGTTAAAATGAGGATACCCGGGCTTGATGCACCTTGATTTTCCATGAATCGTTCTAGATCATCACTAGTGAAAAAATGAATATAATTTCATTACTGCTGAATATTCCATGTAAACTATCAAATTTACATCAAGTCTGTGTATTTTGCACAATAAAAAAAGTTTCACAAGCAGATATGTTCTTAAATTCATTTTAGCTCCAGTTAACCAGTCATTTTTCATCTCTCCCACGCCCTTAGTTCTGTGTCTAGCACGGGAGATCCAGTGGTGGACCACACTTGTGATCCCTGGTGTTATTTACTCATTAATAACTTGCTGATGGAACATCTACTAAGTGGCTATTCTCTGATAGTCATATGGCAATGAACAAAACACAGCTCTCCACCCTTAAGGAGCTGAACCTGAACCCACGTAATGGGATGAAGAGTCTATCAGATGATCTCAATCTCAGGTTAAAATAGTGTTTTCTTAGTCACTATAAACGTACTTATTTGCTGGTAAATGTGCCAAGGTTAAAAACTCCATAAATCCTCCCTATCACGCACTTTAACAATCCAGACTCGAAAGCTACATTCAGACACCAGGGTGTATGACTAACCACAAAGCCATTTTGCCTATGAGCTGAATCCAGTTCTTCAGGTTACCTGAACTTCCATAAAGCAGCAACTTGCTGAAAATAAGTCTATGTCATGAACTTAGCCCTGTAAATCTGTAATTCTCAAGGGCTGCTTTCTGTCTTTCAGTACCATTCCATTCCATATCATCTCCTGTCCGGCAATAGGGGTGTTAGGTCCTGGGGCTGCAAGGTCACTTTAATATACATTTAAGAAAATATAGAGAGCCCGTGTGGTAGTTCACATGCAAACCTAGCAGCTCAATAGGCAAGAAAATCTCCATGAGTATCAGCCTGAGCTATATAGTGAGTTCCAGGAGAGACTGGGATAAAGAATGATATCCTGTCTGAAGGAATGAAAGAAAAGAAAGGTAAAGGGGACAGGGAGGGAGGAAGGGAGGGAACAGGAGAGGAGGGAAGAAGAGGGTAGGGAGACAGGAAGGGACAGAGGGAGGGAAACAGGGAGGAAGGAAAGAAAGAAACAGAGAAAAGGTGCCGAAGGAAGGAAAGAAGGACCCAGAGGGAGGGAGAAGAGGAGAGGCAGCAAGTGAGAAAATGAAAAGAAACAAAGAGATTTAATGAGAGAAGGGAACCTATTGCCTGAGAACTTGGTTTGAAACTTTTGCTTTCTCTCTTGACCGCTTAACCCCTGTGCTCATCAGATGCATATCCAGCCAGTTCCAGATTTTCTTGGATCTTTTCATTCCTAGCCATTCCCACTGTTGCTACCCAAGTCCAAGGCTTTATTATAGCTTATTTGGCAAACTTCAATAGGCCAAGTGGTTCCCCTGGCTTCCTGTCTCTGCCTCTTCACCATCCTGCAGGTGGCTGCTGTCGTCCCATTGCTTCCCTACTCAAGAACTTCTCATTGCCTACAAGACTGTCTTAAATTTTAAGATTCCTCTGGCTTTGCCAACTTTCCTCATCACCTCCAACAGGAACTCCCTGCAGAAAACTGGCCTGTATCTTCCTAGAGCATAACTTGTACACTGATTCCCAATTGTGATGTGTTTCCACACTTGTGAAATGTGTTCAAAAAAAGTTGCTATCAGGAGAGTACAAACAGGGTTGGAAGCGGAGTCAGTTGCAAGCTACCTTTATTAATAATGAACACTCTCTCCTCTGGTTTACTGGGAGAAACCAAGGACGTAGTTTGAGGCACCACACCAGCAGCCGTGGCCATAAAATAGCACACAGAGGGAAAAGGACTGACAATGACTGCCTTACTGAAAACTAGATTACAACCAAACAGCCACATCAAATCATCACTGCTGGTCATTTTATCCATTTTCACAGTCATGTTCCAGAAGAAGCTGAGGAGAAAATAACGCCCTAGATATAGAGCCATAAATGAGATTTGGTGATCCTGTATGAGTTGCCTGAGCCTCAAGTGACTCGTCCATACAACAAATTAGAAACAAGGACTGAAGAGATGGCTCAATGGGTAAAAGCTCAAAATCTTTACAGAGAACCAGAGTTCTGTTCCAAGCACCCACATGAGGTAGCTTACAAGTTCTCGAGCTCTAGGGGGTCTGATGTCTTCTTCTGAATTCCATAGGCACCTGAACGTATTAAAAGTAAAATTAAAAGTAAAAGTAAATTAAAAATCTACACAAATTAAGAGTAAAATAAGTGGCTGCAGTGAGATGGCTCACTGGTTAAGAGCACTTGCTGCTCTTGCAGAGGATCCAGGTTATGTCCCCAGCACCTACAAGATGGTTCAGAACTGTCTGTAACTCCAGTTCCAGGGAATCCATCACCCCCTTCTGGCCTCCACAGGCACATACACATGTGATGTACTTACATGCATGCAAAATACTCATACATTATAAAATAAGAAGAAATAAATCTTTAGAAGTGAAATAAGTCTTTTTTGTTTGTTTGGGAGAGAGAGAGAGAGAGAGAGAGAGAGAGAGAGAGAGAGAGAGAGTCTTCCTGGAGCCCTGACTGGCCAGGAACTCGCTATGTAGACCGGGCTGGCCTCAGTCTCACAGAGATCTGCCTGACTCTGACTCCCAAGTGCTGGGATTAAATGTGTGTGCCACCACACCCGACTTAAATAAATTGAACCTTAAAAAAGGTAAAACTTGGAGGCTGGAGAGATAACTCAGCAGTTAAGAGCAATGGTTGCTCTTGCAGAGGACCCGAGTTCAATTCCCAGCACGCACATGGTGGCTAACAATCATTCATAACTCCAGGTCCAGGGGACTCTGATGCCCTCTTCTGACCTCTGTGGGCATTGCATAACATAGGTGCACTTACATACATTCATGCAATACACTCATACACATAAAATAAAAATAATGAATAAAATATTTTAAAAAGATGAAAGATAAAAGTTGCATCTCAATAAATTTGTTCAAATGAAATTAACGGGGTTTTAAAGGTTGTTATTTTATGCTAATCTCTTTATATGTATGCATTTATTCTTGTTTAATATTCACAAAAGCATTTCAACATACCAATTTCCTCATTTTACAGATAAGAAACCTGAGGACCAGGAAGGGTAACAGCTGGTAAGTGGCTATAGTGGGCTTAAAACCCTAGCTTGAAGCCAAAGCTATTGGTCTGTCCACAACACTATCCTACTGCTCAACAGAAAGCGATTTTATCAACATTAGTCTAAAGACATATTATTATTAACTTTTAAAGACAAATGCCTGGCTAGAATCTTTTTTAAATTTTATTATTTTTTCTTTTATGTGTATGAGAGTGTTGCCTGCAAACAGGTAGGTGCACCCATGTCGTGCAATGCCCACAGAGGTCAGAAGAGGGTGTTGGATCCCCCGGAACTGGAGTTATGAATGGTTGTTAGCCATCATTTGAGTGCTGAGAATCAATCCTGCATCCTCTGTAAGAGCAGCCAGTGCTCTTAACTGCTGCGCCATCTTTCCAGCCCTAGAATCTTAGCTTTAAAAAATAGTAGTACCTACGATTTCCAACTTAATGGATAGTGAACTTATGTGTTATTTCCAACCAAGAGCATAAATATGCATTAAAAATCATCATTTATAGACTATATTTAGGGAAATATCTTGGATTTTGGAGAGTGCATTTGAGCAGAAATGTATTCTGGATAAAATAATTTTCTTTTTGGTTTGGTTAGTAAGTTTTGTGTTTTCTTTCTAGGGCTAAGCAACTGTCACATCATCCATGTTCTACTCTAATTATTATGAGTTACAGCAATTAAAAGCAAGTGTTTATGGACACTTTGTTATTACTTCTCATGCACCATTCTAAACCCTTGGCTTGATAAATATTATTGAGCAATTTAAAATATTTTCAAGATAACATGAGACACCTATCTTGGATTAAAACAGATCATTGGAGAGAGAAACAAAAGAACAGAAGTATTACTAGTGAAACAAAAGAACAAAATTGTCTAGCAGTGACACTACCTATCATGGTAATTTGATCTTAAAAGATACCCTTGACTTAGCCAGATGAGTTTAATCTAAAATTCATATTATATATAAATAAAATACACAAATGTACATCATTATACCAAAGAAAACTCTTTACCTTAAAATGCAGTTTTTCAATTTTAAGTAGCCTACTTGAAACAGCAGTGGCTTATGATTTGCTTTTATTGTTTATTTATTTATTTATTTGCATTTTTGAGAGAGGGTCTCATACAGCTTAGGCTGGCCTTGGAGTTGCTATATCACTAAGGATGGCCTTGAATTCTGAATCTTCTTGCTTCACATGGGATTACAGATGTACACCACCACACCTGTCTTAAGGTTTACTTTTGAAGCTTAACATGTTCTTTATACTTGATGTAACACATCAAAAGCAGTTTTCAATGTGTGCATGAATGCCACTTGAAATCCAATATATATTTGTTTCATAGAAAACATGGTAGATGTGGTTCTGTTTTATTGTTAGTTGGGCTAGAAAGCTGAAGAAAACTATTCTATCTCACAGTGACACTAGAGAGCTTGACCGTCTCCTAGAACAGTGTTTCTGGGGCCAGTAAGATAGCTCAGTGGGTAAAAATACTTGCTGTGTAAGTGCAAGACTAAAAATTGACCTGAGCTTGATGCCTGAAATCCACAGTGAAAGAAGAGAAGTGACTTCAAAAAGTTGTCCTATGACCTCCGGACATGCTCTGTGGCACTCATGCACCTGCATGCACACATATTCACCACACAGACACACACACTTTTTTAGAAGTGTTTTTGTGGAGTCTTTCGGCAGACTTTTAACTTGAATGAGCACACCCTTAACATAGTAGAGGAGCAAAGAGTTCTCTTCCCCAATTCCATTCCCACCCCAACAGTCTTTCCTGTGAATTGTGATGCTCCAGTAAAAGGAGCCGGAAGCCTTGACCATTGGCCAGTGGAAAAATCACAAGGGTACTGCTCACACTAGGTTGAATGATCTGTATTTTTCCTTTATTTTTTCCAGTCCCCATAGTAGAATGCCTCAGTTTGCTTGTTTGTTTTGAAAA